CTCATCTATCGCATCACACAGTAAGTACAGCTGCAGGTCTTCAATCCAGACGGCAAAGTCAATGGCCCTCCCCTCAGCGTCAAAGGTAAGAACATTGGGGGTGGCCATGACAGCAGCTGAAAATCTCACCGGGCTGGGAGAGGCGGGTAGGTCAGCAGCAGAGGAACAGCAGCACGGCTCCGCAGGCGGCTCGGGCGGCGCGGGCGGCTCGGCGGCGGCTCGGGCGGCGGCTCGGCGGCGGTTCGGCGGCGGCTCGGCGGCGGCTCGGCGGCGGCTCAGGCGGCGGCGGCTCGGCGGCGGCTCGGCTGCTGCTGGGCGGCGCGGGCGGCTCGGGCGTCACGGGCGGCTCGGCGGCGGCTCTGGCGGCTCGGCGGCGGCTCGGGCGGCGGCTCGGCGGCGGCTCGGCGGCGGCTCGGCGGCGGCTCGGCGACGGCTCGGCGGCGGCTCGGCGGCGGCTCAGGCGGCGGCGGCTGCTGCTGGGCGGATCGGCGGGGCCGCGTAGCAGAGTGGCGGCGGGGCCGCGACCGAAGAGAGCGGCGGGGCCGCGTAGCAGAGGGCGGCGGGGCCGCGTAGCAGAGGGCGGCGGGGCCGCGACCGAAGAGAGCGGCGGGGCCGCGTAGCAGGGGGCGGCGGGGCCGCGTAGCAGAGGGCGGCTGGTATCGCGAGGGGAAGGGCGGCGCAACGGTCCGCTAGGGGCGACACGACGGGTCGCTAAAAAAAAAAAAAACGCGCCTCGGGGCGCGGTTCGGTGGGCCCTAGAAGCAGTCCCTAGGAGGGAACCTGCTCTGATTCCATGTGGAAACAAAGAACGAGGATGGAATGACTATGAACGAAGTGAGTACAAATAGGAAACCCTAATTGGGTTGTACCCCCTATGGGATACCCCACTATAGCCTACAGAAACAAGTAAGCTATAAGTTCTGACAGCTTGTTCATCGCAACCGTCGTTCGACTGCAAGGGATACCAGCCGCGATAATCAGCGACCGGGACATGAAGTTTACGAGCAACTTCAAGGAGCAGTTCGGAACCATGCTTCAGTTCAATTTGTCGTACCACCCCAAGACCGACGGTCGAACGGAGTGGTCGAACCACACCATGGAGCAGGTGATTTGTGCCACATGCGACGAACCGACAACATGGGAGCAGCAGGTCCCGCTGATCAAATTCGCCTATAACAATGACACATCAATGGTGACGCAGCAGTCCTCGTTTTACCAAACCCAACAGTGCAACCCCACATCACACGCACAACAACTCGCCAAGATCCTGCAAACTGCTCGGACCCGCGCAGTAGAAGCAATAAAAAAAGCAAACCTCATCGCTAAAAGAAATGCTGACCGCCACCGCCACCCAATCACGTACCAGTTACGGGATTATGTACTACTCAACACATAGAGTTTAAGAATGTCCGTCGTACCGAAGCTTCGACCGCGCTACTATGGACCGTTCCAAATCAGCCACATGATCACCCCGGTTACCGCCCACTTACTGTTGCCGACAGACTGGTACATCAGCCCATCATTCCACATCAGCTACTTTCCCCGTACATCCCAACCACAACTCAACTACCACGCCATCGCGCGCCGCCCATGACTCGCCCTGCATCGGAGTCGATCGTCGAGGCCGAGATGATTTTGAGCCATCGGATCCGTCACCCCACCGGCATCAAGAGGATTGAGTTCCTCGTTTGTTGGAAGGACCGCACGCCATATGAAGATAGCTAGGCGCCCCTGGCCAACATAAAAAACCACCCTGCCCTGCAAGTGTACTTGAGGAGCCGGAATTTCCGCGATATACACGTGCTCGCGTAGGGGAGGGGGCTTCTTGAGGAGGGGGGGAGGGGGGGGGGGGGGGGGGTAGTGCAAGAAATTTTTCGGCATTCCTTACTGCGTTCTTCAACATCGCGTACAGCAGCAATTGTTGTTCACTCGTTACTGCTAATGGGGCTTCACCACGCTCAGCCGTCCGCACACCCTGGGCGCCTGGCAGCGTCGTTGGCTTCGCCAAAAGAAGAACGGGGGCAAATTCCTGTCAACGGTCCTAGCTACGTCATTACTAGGTCCAAGCTGCATCGTTGCCTCATATCTCGATGCAAACTAAGCTGGCGAGGTAGAATGGTCGGCGTCCGATGACCGTGAACCGTGCAAAGAGAATAAATGAGAGAAAAAAAAAAGTGACAGCGCATAAGCAAGATACGTGAGCATGGAACAAAGAATGAGAAAATGGTAAATGGCAGGTGGCAACGGGGTGGTAATGGACGCGCACGGCTTCGCACGTTTCTTGGCCCACGCAAACCCCTTAGCACTTGTCTTCATACATGGCTCCTCATTTGGCGGCGAATTGTTCAACGTGCGACGCCGCTTTGCCTTTTTGAGCTTGTATTCAGGGAAATCCACGGTATCATGATGATAGTGCTCGCAGCTCGCCGTGGCATAGGCCTGGCATTGTTATGTTCTTTTGAGATGCTGGGATGCCGGCTTCGTGCTCGCTTCGGGACACCGTAGATTTGTGCCGCATGTCATGTTAGATACCATGAACCTAGGTCGACGCCGCCATTCCACTAGTCACGCATTCGTTTTCCTGCGCAAACCCTGTTGTGTTGATTTAAGACACCTGGACACTGTTCGGGTCGGTCGATGTTCGCCGCGTGGCGATCACTGACAATCCGCGTGACCCGTTTCCCACGCAACACTATGCCGTCGATGTATGCCGCATTGACCTATTTCTAGTTGCTTGATGGACGCCGCCATCCCTGCTTTGTCGGACATGATCAGGCTCCGTTGACCGCTGCGTGGTGGCCATCTCGACTAGATGTGTTGAGCTGGCATGTGGCTCGTTTATTTCCTACCTCCATGTCGAGAGAATTTCTCCAGTGGCCAATCGGGTGATTCATCCTCTCTCGGGGGGCCTCGAATTACTCGAGTGGCCACGAAATTGGGTGATAATTACTCGAGTGGCCACGCCAGGGGATTCCTGCTCGCTTTTTTTTCACCGGTGCATTACCCTACGGGGCTTTGTAGCCCCGAAATTCCTTATTCGTGCGCGTGGTATCCCTAGGTGGTGTTCCGTTATGATCCGCACCTTAAAATTTCGCCAGGCTCACGGACGCGAAAGTGGCCCGCCCACTGTACAAGAAACCGACCAGCAGTACATTGACCGGTCAGTTTCGGCCAAATGCGCGACCAATGAGCGCGCGGTTCATCTAATTAACATCCAATCAGCGATCGAGCATATGACTTCGCGATCATATACTGCATTTCACCCGAAACGAACCGACACAGCAAAACGACCGCACTCGATTGGTCAGGAGATAGAGCGGTGCATTTGTTGCCACTGCGCGTCTAATCAAGCGCAAGATTTACGGATTGTCGATCATATTTGAACGCGTTCGTTAAACACCATATGATCCCGCCAATCATATACAAAATAGTCTCGCACAAAAGGTTCGAATTAACGCGCTCAAACTGGTTTGGTATGCCCTTTTCAACTTCCCGCGCTTTATCATTTGATCCATATGCTACAGATTGCTCACACCATTTCCTCGGGTCGTTTTAGGGTTCAAATCTACCTTAGCCTTTGATTAGACCAGTTAGGTCCTTAAAGGAGGTTCATCTAGGAGGTCCTACGGTTAGAACGTTCATATTAACCGCAATGAGTTTGACGTCTTATACTTGTAACACAGAGTCCGACTCAGGCGATGAGGACACAGAGTTTTGCTTCGTTGGAACCGGAGAGCCCAAACAAAGTGATATGTACCGTGCGTTGCTGCGGGAAATGGTCGTCGACGAGGCCCCATCGCCACAAATCGTCATAGACGATCGAGCACCGTTATGTGAAGGTCAGCTATACTCCTCTAAGAAATTTTTGTACGAAGCACTAGAGGACTATTCGGTAGCTTGGAACTTTGGTTTTAGGGTTACGAGGAGTAGGCGAAACAGAGCCCAGGCCATATGCATGAGTAAACATGAGCGTCGTAAACCTGCGTGCCGGTGGCGGTGTGAGTACTCTACTGACGGAGTGGGTGGGTTTTGGCGTGTTGACACACTGTCCGCCCCATCATCCCACTGCTGCTCAGTCGTTGATCGGGACCGCTACGTGCAACACACGACAAATAAAGTGTCATATCTGCAGCGTCATCACGGCAATCTTGTCCAAGCTGCACCACATCACCCTCCCGGGACGTACAAGGAACAGATTGCGTCTACTGGTGGTTCCGATATAAAATATCAGCAATCATGGCGGTACGTTTCCAAACGTTCGATCCACATGACCGCCATTGTCACATGCACGTTCTTAATCGCCCGATCCACCTCATGTTTGTGGGTACCTGCTTCTGTTTTCTTGTACACCGTCGTCTGTTTTTGCAGGCTAAAGGAAAAGATGTTGAAGGAACGTTTTGGAGACTGGAAAACTTCTTTTCGCTACATTCCGCGGGTCTTGGAACGGTTCAAAGAGATAGATCCACATTCAACGCTCGACCTCCTGACAAAGGATCACGCTTTCTTCCGGGCTTTTGTCGCCCCATCGGCGTCACGAACAGCTCTAAGGTTCTGTCGACCAGTCATTGGTATGGATGGTACATTTCTCATTCGTGCGCAGCGGGCCACGCTCTTGGTAGCAGCTGCTAAGGATGGAAATAACCAGCTTGTTCCACTTGCTTATGGCCTGTGCGAGAGTGAGAACAAAGATAGTTGGATGTGGTTTTGTGCGAACTTGTTGAAGCATTTTCCGTCGTGGCCGGACACCCAGGATGCCTCCCTCATCAGCGATCGTGACAAGGGGTTAATACCGGCGGTTAAAGAAGTTTTCCCACCCCAGTTCCCCCACTACTTTTGCAGTTGGCACTTGGAACAGAATGTGCTCAAGTTTGGCCCTAACGCCTCCGAACTCTTCAAGAAGCTCGCCAACTGCCGCAACAAGCGGAAGTTTGGCAAACTCGTGAGGAGATGCCGGGCCGAATGTGCTGGAATGGCTAACTATCTCTTTGGGGTCGAGGAGACTAGTGCGCAGCAGACCCGCGGCGGACGCGGGGCCAACCAGCGTGCACGGGAGCCAGGGGCAGGGGATGGGTTTGGAAGCCGCACGGGTGCCGCAAGAAGAGCAAGAATGGCAAGGATGGAAGTGCGGCGGCAAATGAGGAGTGGTCGCAGGGGACAGCAGCAGGCACCATCACAGCAGGCACCATCACAGCAGGCACCTTCTCAGCAGACACCATCGGAGCAACGACCATTTCAGCAGCCACCATCTCAGCAAACACCGTCAAATCAGAGAAGGGTGCATCAGCATTCAACTCAGCAGCAACCATCCCAGCAGCCATCATCCCAGCAGCATCCATCTCAGCAGCAACCATCTCAGATGCCCCATAGGGACCATGGGTTCGGACCCATGCCAACTGCAAATCTTACCCGTGATCGCCCTAGTGACATGCAGCCTCAATCTACGGCTGCTGACAACGTGCATCCACTTGAACGTGTCACAGCAACCACGTCCGATAGAGAGATAGAGGACCCTTCTTTGGCAGGCGTGAATGCGAGAGATAGAGCTACAACCATATCCGATACTTTAGCCGAGGCAGATACCACAGAAGAAGTGTTCAAGGAGCACTTTGACGTGGAGGATGGGAGCCAAATCAGCTGCGGGGAGGAGCCGGGGCCTGATGAGGATGAGGAGCGTGCCGACATGGGTCACGGTTCCCAATCCACCAATACTGCAACTCATCCTCTATCCACCACAACAGCGCAACAAGCGGCCATGAGACGCCAACGGCGGATGGAAATTATCAGGGGAAGGCGGAATGCAAGAGAGGCAGGTGCAAGAGGGCGGGAACGAGCTGGAACACCAGTAGCACGGCTGCCAACGCAAGGGAGCCAAAGTGCGCGCCAGCCAACACCGCAGCAGGGTGTTAAGACAGACATGGGTCAGGCCAACGACGCCGCAGAGGCCACGGACGTCAACCACGGACGACAAACGGGACTGGGGGGCTTGGGCAATGCGGATGCTGAGCGGGTGGACAGGGACACCATGGAGGAAGTCTCAGAATCCCAACCACTAGACCATTGGGATAAAAGGGCTTGTTTCAGTAGCGGGTCAGTGCGCCCATAACCCCCCAGGCAAATGTGCCTGTAACCCTTCCGTAGGATCGATCGGGGATCACCAGTGGACCTCTGACACCCCCCCGCACTGGGATGCCCGAAGTGCATACACCGGGATTCGAACCCGAGACCTTCGCTCTGATACCATCTCAGAATCCCAACCACTAGACCATTGGGATAAAAGGGCTTGTTTCAGTAGCGGGTCAGTGCGCCCATAACCCCCCAGGCAAATGTGCCTGTAACCCTTCCGTAGGATCGATCGGGGATCACCAGTGGACCTCTGACAGGAAGGGGCGGCCATTATTGTGCGCACGGGCCTGGATGGACCGAGAAACAAGAGGAGGAAAAAAATCACTGTATTCATCAAGCAATGGGCACGGTGTTATGCCCCCACATGTCGGTTTGGCATCTACAGCAGCCAGATGGTGGAGTCCATCAACAACGCCATTAAGAAGATCCGCATCTTGCCGGTATCTTACGTAATGGCGGGCATGTGGGATTGGATGGCTAAAATCTACTCGGATGGGCAGCGGAAGTCATCCTATTGGCAGCATGCATTGACGGTTGAAGCTGAGAAGCGGTTTGATCTGAAACAGAACCGAAGCCGAGGATACAGGGTCACACGAAATGGTCCAAGCAAGGCAATGGTTCAGAACAAGGGGAGCGCGTTGGATCGACGTCCTCTCTCCTTCAACAATGATGTCGGAGAGAGAATGTGCGAGTGCAAGAACTGGCAAGAATATCGGTTTCCATGTTCTCATGCGTTTGCGCACTTACGGGATAGGCAAATGGATGTTATCCCCTTGATCACCAGGTATTGGAAGACGAACAACTGGAGAAGGACGTACTCGGCGCTCATTCCGTATTCGTGTATAGACACGGTCATTGCGGAGACCAAGCCCGTTGCGGAGGGAGTTTATGATCCCCCTGTTTTTGTGCAGAGAGGATCAGGGCGGCCACAATCTAACCGAAGGCGTGAAGCACCAAAGCGGACATACAAGTGTGGCGACTGTGGGTCTACTCAGCATACCAGGAAGAAGTGTAAGGGAAAATATGGGGGGTCAGAGGTGTATCATGTAGCAAACTAATGGGGGGGTGCGATAACGTGCTTAGTCTTGAATAATAGGGACTGTGGTAGGCTACTTGTTCTTTGCTTCTAGATGAATATTGGTGACTGCCAAAACAAAAAGATTAATGATCCCACATATGATCAGTCATATAACTTTACGATCCTGACCAATAATATGCTCTCGAACAATTGAATGGCCCTATAGTCTACCGCATTTGACCAGTAATACACATACGCACAGATGACTGCGCATATACTCCCGCGTATATGACCGGTCATATACGCATGAACACGTGACTGGTCAAAACACAACGCGCATATGAACGGTCCACTAGCCGAATTTTTGGGTTCGTTGTTAACGCACGCTCATACCGTTACGTGCGAAAGACGGATACAGTATAGTAGTTTAGTTAGTGCTATGAATACAATGACATAATGGTAGTATAGGTCAAAACTCCCACAGATATGTTGTGATGCTCCGTAATTAGATATAGAAACATGTATTCACGCATATGGTGTCATGCAGTAGGCTGGAGAGCTGTGTCGGCACCGCATTACGACTCTCTAATCGGGAATGCATAGAATATGAATTTTAGTGTTCACTGTATGCCCATGACCGTGCAGAGATTTAACTCTTTGTGATGCTAGGCATTAGCTATGAACGGCCCAAATGGGTCCCATAGTCACAAACATGGTAACCCTAAACCTGTTACAAATTGTAGTGAAGAACATTACGGCTAGTTAGGTGTGTTACCGCTGTGCTTGTGTCGCATAATAAGTTTGCAGAGACATTTGTGTCAAATGTTTTAGTGCTAGTGAGGTGTGTTATATGAGGCACAATTGTAAGAGTTAGGTATAGGTACCACAACCAACCTCATACTCTCATCCTAAAACAATATGGTACATGTTTTAGGACTTGCTGGTGTGACCAGTACGACCGGACCATACATACATACAATTGGTTTATACATTCATCGAGTTTCCCATTTGTTGTATCTTTAAATGATGCGAGCTCGTTTAAACAGGCCTTTATGCCATGGGACCATACAGAAGTATGGTGTAATCTATGAGGTTGTACGAAAGTTTTGGGATGTTACACGTAGAAAGTCAATATTATTGCTCAACGCTCGGGCGATCTTGTTAAATCATCAAGGGTACTACCGTAAATGAGCACTTTAAGTGGGCTATTTGTATTGCAAACTCTCTTTTAACGCTTTCTCGGCGGGCCATAATTCGAGCGTTTATGCTATTAACAACGATAGAAATTCAACGTTTAGTAAATTCGTAAGAAATGGCTGGAAACAAGTTTCAGCATCAAATAGTTTCGAATTGAGTGTGCCAGCCATATGGCGCGTGAAATGCATTTTTTGTAAAGAGGACGTTGAATTTTGACTGGCATATGCAACATCTTATTGACCGGTCATATCGCCCTTGCATATGTCTGGTCAAATGGCACGGGGATATGACCGGTCAGTTTCGCCGGTAATATCGCACGCGCGAATACCTGGTCGAAATGCACATGCATATGATCGGTCAATTCACGCTTGAATTTGATTGGTTCGAGCATATGCCGTCGATCTACTTTACTGGAAAAGCGAGCGCGTTTCAATTACCAGAAAGTCGCCCAAGCGAGGTTTCCATGCTCGCTGTTACCACGAAATAGTTACGATCCGATGTTCAACCGGTCGCGCGAAAATTGTGAAACACCGCTCGTAACTGCGACAAACTAGCATGCGATGAAACGTTACCCTAAATCGCGCATAACGAACCACTAAGAGCTGGAGAGGTGGAAAACGTAAACACGCCCTTCCAGACACAGTCATTTCTTACTCACGAACATATTCCTTGCGCCAATTTGGCGAGAACGCAAAGTTAGGGTTAGATAATATGGACGATACTAGCTCAGCTACGGCCTAAGTATCTAGCAATCCTATCCAAAATCTACCACTTTCTACCGTGATACTAGAGCGTACGGCGCGCTAGAAGTCTGTACCTATGTCAGGCCGCGCAGCTCGTGGTAGAGGGAAACGGATGAGAAGAGGTGATGGCACGTCGACGGCCGACGTGGAATCAGGAGAAGACGACGGCATTCGTCGCAGTGATAGGCTGAGATCGGGGCAAGCAAACGTGACGAATAAGCAGGAGCCATGCGCCACGCCATCTGAGCAGGTGGTCTTGAAGAAGGTAGCCCCGCACGATTATGGCGTAGAGCAGGCGTTTGACAAGTCTTTGGTAGAAACTCCGCCCGACGACCTCATCGCAAAAATCATCGGAGATACTAAAATCCCAATCCTGAATACTAACGAGAAATCTAGAGCTACTGCCAGCAAGTACACGCATCCTTTTTTTCCCACCAATGCCATTCGCGATCATCACGGAATGACGGCCGTTATCACTATGGCCGACGCACTGCACATCACCGATGATCAGCCGATCACGCAGCCTCTCATCGACTTTCACAACATGTAAGTGCCAAGCAATGGGAACATTCAATCATGTGGTGAACCACCGTGTCATGTTTATCGCCTTTTCGACTCCCCTCGTTGTGCTTTACTTATTGCCGCTATCAACGCAGAGTGCTCAATATACGCTGGCCCAAGTTGAGCAACGGCAAGACGTGGCTTGCGTTGGACAGTCAGAGTTACGAGTACTTCTGCTCACGGGGCAAGATCGCAAGAGGCAACGCCGGACCGTCCATCTTCAGCTACGACTATCTCGCCATGCCAATATTTGGCGGGTAAGTGCGAAGATATTGTGTCATTGGTATTGCATTCACGCATATGGCGTCTATTGTTGAGTTGCCTAATCCGTGACGCAAGGTCTGTAATGTTTTGTCAATGCAGGTTACATTTCAGCGTGATGATTGTCGTCAACCCTGGAGTAGTAACTCTACCGCTCGACGAGGACACCGCCACCCAGCCTGCATGGTTGCTGTTGTACGACTCCCTAGGGATGCATGCTGTGGGGGGCAATGCATTCAAGAATATGACCAAGTAAGTGTCCGTTGGTGGTGGCGTACACCCATTCCCTAAAACCTAAACATCAATCATTGCAGTGCACGCTTCTGTTTCGTTCATTTCAACTGTACTCCGCCTTTTTGCTTGACAAACGCGGCCCCCTCACAGCTTGCTAGGCCTGGCCTTCGAGAAGGAGCATGGGAAGCGCACAATAGAGGAGATGAAAGCTCGGCTTGGAAGATTCAAGCCGCACGTCATGGAGGTGTGTTGGCGAGCAGTTCGCCTGTCGTGACGTTTGTTCATCCATGCTATTATTGCAACCCTAAAAACATGGTGCAACCTGGCGGATGGTGAACCCATCTGCACGATGCTCCTTTCTCGCTTATTATAATGCCCAGTCTAGAATGCTCTCGTTTGTATGTTGCTCGGGTGCAAAGTGTTGCCATCGTATGTGCATGTTGCTATAGCGTACAGGGTGTTCAGCTATGCACGGTGCGTTTGTGACATAGTACATTCAACAAACCCCGTTTAACAAAAGATGCACCGTGGTCACGCCTGTCCGCTATTCTTTACGCTCCATGTGCCTATTGTGTATTGCAGGCGTGGCAGATGCCTCTGCAGCAGAACCTTTTTGACTGCGGCATCTTCGTCTGCCAGTACATTCATGCGCTTGTGGAGGCGTGCTTCGAAGGTGCTGAGAATGGGGTGCGGTTCAGCATGAGCCCATTGGCGTACCGTCGTGGGTTACGGGATGATGTGTGCGCTCTTGCAGAGGGTCGGCTGATCGGCGAGCTCACGGCGGCAGGGCATGAGATCCCTTGTGGCAATGAGATAAGGAAACCACCTGAGGTCGATGTGATTGGTGATGAGGTGGAGGATAGGGAGTGGAGAGCAGAGATGGCAGAACGGATGCATCGGCTGGAGGTTCGCAACGAGAGTCAGGCGGTGGCTATTGCCAAGCTTGAGAGGCAATTACGGGAGCTTATGCTACATCGTCCTCCGCATCATGGTGTTGACTCTGCCGCTGTAGGGGAAGGGCATGGTGATGTGGCACCGGACGGTGGACCTGGTGCTCCGGCACCCGTGGTAGTCATGGGTGGGGACAATGGTGGCAAACATGACAGCATAGGAGGTGCACATGGTGAGGGTCCTGTGGCTGACGTTGAGACGGGTGCAGTGAATGTCAGTGTGCGTGAAGGTGGTGTGGAGGGGGATACACCTGTCGGTGCGAGGAGTGACAATGGAAAAGCGAGGGTGCATGATGCAGGTGCTGGAGGCATGATGGGTACTACGGATGGTAACAGAGGTGCTGGAGAGGCCGTGGGTGCTGGGCATGGTGTGACAGCATCGAATGTGAATGTGGTGCCTGCACACAGCGCAGGGACTGAGACGACGAGTCGCAACACGACGCGTGGTCGAGCTCCTAGCTCAGGTTACACAGGTATAAGCAAACGGGAAGGTAAGTGGGCCGCACGACTGTGCATCGATAGCGCTAATAACAAGTTCCTTGCGCTGGGACGGTACACCGAGATCTTGGATGCCGCAACAGCTTATGCAGCAGCCGCTCACATCTGCCGACCGTCCATCTCCAGTTCTAAAATGGTGGAGTTGAGCGAGGAGGATAGGAGGTGCTTGGAGGGTCTGAGTTCGATTGGGGTTGAGAGGATTGTGGAAGCCAAGCGGTGGCCGGAGTGGAGGAATTGGCGTGTAGTGCTCAGCAGCCTCCCCGAGCCTTCCACCCCAGCGCCAGCAGGGGTTCACACACAGGCTCCACCTCCCTTTTCCCACCAGCACCCTAGACCCACGTTCGGCAACTACCACACGCCAGCTGCCGCTTTCGTGGGACAGGCCAGTGCATCCCTAAACCATGGTGGATGGCAGCCGTACACCCAGAGCAACCATCTGTCCAACCTCCATTTTCCATCCCAGCAGTATGCATTCAACCACATCCCTATCCATCCGTTCAGTCAGGTGCAAGAACCTATGTCGGTACCCCCAGCCGGTTCAGTACCCAACCCTGCTGGCCATGTCGCAACACAGAACACAGCACCCCATCCGCATGCCCTACCCACAACACCGGCCGTTGCACCCAGCACGGCACATCCACAAGTCCAACAAGTACCGCCCTTAGAGCAAACTGCGCAGGCTAGGGTAGCTGGCATGACAGATTCCCAGCACAGCTTGAGCATGACAGCTGCACCCAACAATCCCAACCCCCCGTCTCACGGCTCCACACTCGCAAACGAGGCAGCAACAGGTGAGATGTCTGGTGCTGTCAGAGTTGTGCATAACCAGAGCCTGTTATTTTCCTAACGTTGCACTATAGTATTGAAATTGTTTTCTGACCGTTTGCAGGGGCGGCGGACGACATAATCGATGACCTCCTTGGTCAAGCAACACAATAACTGCTGTGACATCACGATGTACATGAAATTGCTTTATCCATAAACATAAAGACGTTCCACTTAAACCTTGTTAGTCATGCGTAGATCTTGACATGCCCATAGACATATAGGCGTAGCATTATAACCCTTTGCCACTGCATTCTACATGAAAGGGGACCGCTGTGCTATGTAGAGATGACACCAAAACAGAACTCAAGAAAGTGGCTGTATGGGATTTAAGAGTATGTTTTATATGCACCCTAAGCACACAAACTTGGACAAATCATATGTGCACTAATATTTGTTAGTGCGCGGTCCTATTTTCTATATGGTTGCCATTTCATTTAGACGGGGATGATTGGACGCTCAATGACAAAGCATATCCTGAGATTAAAACAAACCAATCACGCGCGGTAATTTAGTTTATCGCGAATTGATGGCCGATCATTTCGGTATATGATGGGGAACTCAATGATGGCGCCTGATTGGACGCTCAATGGCAACATATGCACCGCGCATGTTTTTTACGAATCATGTGCGTGCATTAGGGGTGTGGCTGTTCGCTTCGGGTCTATAGGAATATATGATCGAGAAGTTATATGCTCGATCGCTGATTCGTTCGGAATTAGATGGACCGCGCGCATTTGGCCGAAACTGACCGGTCAATGTACTGCTGGTCGGTTTCTTGTACAGTGGGCGGGCCACTTTCGCGTCCGTGAGCCTGGCGAAATTTTAAGGTGCGGATCATAACGGAACACCACCTAGGAATACCACTCGCACGAATAAGGAATTTCGGGGCTACAAAGCCCCGTAGGGTAATGCGCCGGTGAAAAAAAAGCGAGCAGGAATCCCCTGGCGTGGCCACTCGAGTAATTATCACCCAATTTCGTGGCCACTCGAGTAATTCGAGGCCCCCCGAGAGAGGATGAATCACCCGATTGGCCACTGGAGAAATTCTCTCCTCCATGTCGTTTGTCTGATGAGGTATATGATGCTCATGAAGTCTTCAGATTCGCGCATGGATTTTGGTACAGAAATTCGTTTAGTATGGGCGGGATGGTTTGTTTGTAGAGCCACCAGGACACATTTGGTTCGGATTGAGTGTCTCTCATTTGCGCATTTGGGATTTCATTTTAGGAAGGTGAAACTGCCTAATTGTAAAAGTATGACTCCCCTCAGCACTTGACTCGACAAGGCAGCTTCCTCAAACGAGTCATAACCGTCCACTCCCATGGTCGAAGGCACTTCGGGTAGTTACGAACATACAACTTCGTATCAAGCGACCGAGTTACGACGCTACGCGACTGTGGGCGATCCCTTACTTGCCAATCAATGTGCGGTCACTTCGTCACTCCCTCACAAATTGATCGCCTCGCCTCGCTACGCCAACTATCTGCTAGCCTCGCCACCACACCACTGATAAGCTCAGCGATGACGATCAGGACGCAGTACAAGTGGCCAGATCGGAGGATCGCCTCCGCATATCGAATCGCACAATCGTTCTAGCGAGTTGATCGATGAAACTGTTTAAGACCGTCGATTTCACATTCGGCAAAACCAACTGGTCAGAGTGTTCCGCATGGTGAATCTTATAAGCTACATGGAAACTATCCTGACAAATGAGAGTCTTGTTGCTGGAACCGCGAAAGCTCATCGTTAAACAAATCGCGTGATTCGCAAGCAAGGGGACCACTCGTCCCTGGCCTGCCCGGCTCATGCTCATTCGTGCAGCGACAGTGCCCCGATCGCTCATCACAATTCTACAATCAGTCGCCTTCTGAGGATGCGTGCGAATATTTGATAATTGGCTTCGAAGCACGATTACGTGCCGGTGAATAGAGTAACCGAACTGCAATCGATCGCATCAGATGATCGATCGTCTACTCTTACCGCGTCCTTATATCTCGCCCAGACAAGTTTTCAACTCTAGTATTCCTTCACCGAGTCATCTGTCGCCCTTGACTTGGATTGCCGTTTTATTACTCGCGACCCGTAGGGACAGGCCAATGCCAAGCTAAGGACGCCTTTGCGGTTTAATAGGCGGTTAAGGTCAAGCCGGCTATTCGTCCGTCCACACGTTTTGGGGCGCAGTTGATGATATGGTCACGCCTTCCCACCCAAGTAGCAGCCTCCGCAGAGGAGCCACGTTGGTAGAAATGTCCCTCGGGAGATCAGACGGAGGAACAAAGATCGGTAAATAATACCTGACGCTATCCCGGCAGATGGAGTCCTGTTCCGTTAGAGGTTGTTCCGTTATACTTCACGCGCGTGCCGTACGATGTCGTGCACGCTGCCGCGATCCCTTTAGCTTCTCCATGCGGACACGTGGCAACGGTTTCACCCTGACCTTGTTAGTCGCGTTGCTTTTGACACGTGGCAATGGAAGCGGCAGCACCGGTGTCTCGGACCTCGCCGGCGATCCTTCTATTCTCCATCATCGCTTTCCACAACCGCCTATGGAGGTCCGGACCACGGATTTTGCTATTCCCCCTGATCAGTTGACGCAAAAAAGGACAAGTATGGAAATTGCTGGCGACAGGACGATCAGTAATGGGTCGCTGCTGGTCGGACCTCCCGCCTTTCGCATGTCTGAAGGACGAAACCACGGTAGCCGGCGAAGGCTGCTTTCTGCTAGCGATTGGTTACCAGGTGCATCTCGGCGAAAACGAGGCACGCATTATGCATCAGCGGGTGATTTGCGAAAAGCGATCGACAGCAAGCGCCTTGAAGTGGTCGATCTCAACCCGAATCCCCCTCCAAGCATTCTTTCGCGAAAGGGTCGGCGAGCGCTTAAAGCGGATACCAGCAGGCGAAAGTTTGCGACGTGCGCCAAGGCCCTCCTCTGCCCGGAATTCCGGATGTGCGAAGACGCGGGTTTCGAGGATATCTCCGTCTGTCGAAACCCGGATTACATGGACCTCGCCCCGCGACTCGCGGCGAACGGCACCACGACCAAACCCGAAGAAAACGACGAGTACGGGGGAGTGGAGGAGGAAGAAGAGGAAGAGGAGGAGGAAGGGGGAGAAGCGGGAGAAGAAGGCGACGAGGTGGAAGGGGAGGAAGGGGGAGGCGGGAAGGCGGCAAAAGGGGGTTCAGCGGTGGCAATGGTGTGGTCGGGGCGAGTGTTTGCACTGCACGACGTGTATGTGAACAACAAGGGGCAGGTGTTCAACGCCACACATGTTTTCAACCCCAACGGCTGCTACGCCGAAGACAAGGTGCGCGTGGGTGCGAGGGGGAGGGAGGAGGGAGAGAGGGACGAAAAGGTTGGCAGGATGATGGGGATTTAAGGGAAGGGGTAGAATGAAAAGGGGGGTTGAATGGGAGGAAAGGGAGGGGTCGGGGTAGGAGGAGGAAGAGCGAAAAAGGGGAGAGGGTGGATGGGAGGGAAGAGGAGGGGTCGGGGGCAGGGAGGGGTGGGGCTGTTGGAAGGGGGAAGAGGGAAAGGGATGGGCGGTTGGACGCTAGAAGGGGTGTCCGATTGGGTGGTTGCCCAATGTGCATGTGCATGTGATGTGAACTACGGTTCTCCCCTACTCATCAGGAGCACCTCAGAACCCCCGTACTCTTCTATTCCGTTCCCCCTCCCTCTCCTCTCCCCCGCGGCAGTTCCACTATGAGGCAGGCACGCGAGTCTCCTCCTACAACTTCCTCATTAACCTGCTGGTCATTGGGGCCACGCCGCACCCCTTGCCAACCCCCTCCCCCCCATGCTCTCCCCTCCCTCTCCTTTCCCATGCGGCAGTTCCACTACGAGGCGGGCACGCGGGTCTCCTCGTACAACTCGCTGGTGAACCTGCTGGTGATCGGCGGCACGCCCGGAGCGCGGGTGCCCTTCCACGAGGTCCTGGAGCTCGTGCCGCTCTTCCTGCCACTCTCCCGCGTGCTCAAGAAGCATGGCAAGCCCGCCCTCGTCATGCGCGGCAAGAAGGTGCGTGCGTGCACGGATGCATGCATGGGCTGGGGTGTACTTACCTTACATGTCTTACATGCCTTCTCTAGGTAGCAAATCGTGTATGTGGTGCTGTTCACTCGGACTCTTCCTCCCTCCCCCTCTCCTGTGTGCTCAAGAAGCATGGCTGGTACTCGTCATGCACGGCAAGAAGGTGTGCTCACATAAACACTATTACAATAAATAAATAAAAAAGGGTCGTGTGCGTCGGGTGCATTTGGAGCATTCCTGCCGCTCTTTGGCTTGCTTAAAAGGCAAGGCAAGCCGGCAAGCACCTTAAAAAGAAGGTGTCCAACACTTTCTTGAAAAAATAACAAAAACCAAAGAATGTGGCAATCCAACACTCATCATGCCAAGGAAATATTCACATTACAAAAACATAACTAACCAGCGAACAAGCTGTGTTCAATTGGACTGTTCCTGCCTCTCCTGCTTCATGCGTGCCCAAAAGATTTCCGCAAACCAGAACTCGACATGCGCTGTAGTCCCCACCAACCCCCGAACCTCTCCCCCCTGTTCCCAGTTTTTTTTACCCATGCTTGGGATTTTTTTCCTGCCCGCAAGAGCGTCAAACTGGGGGTACCCCTCGGACAGGGGGCATCAATAGCATCAGAACGCTAGCGTTTTGACTCAGAGTCAAAACGCTGAGCGCGTCAAATCTATCATAGATACGCACCCACTTGCACGGGGTAACCAGCTTGGCCATGGGGTAATCAGCTCGGCCATGGGGTAACCAGCTCGGCCATGGAATTGCTATTTCTGACAAACCAGCATACGCCCAGGAGTTGTAGGACATGTGGGGCAGTCATGAAAAGCGCCTGTTTTGGGGCCTCAAAATGTCGAGTTAACATTTGGCGGGTCGCATTCTGAGCGCGGAATTTTGATTTCGAATTTTTCTTTCTTTCTTTCGCATTCTGGCTGCCCTAAAAAATTACCAGTAATGTCAAGCGTCAAAACGGATTTGACCCTTGACGTTTTCAGTTTTTGGAGTCAAATCCATCATAGGTGCGTATGCTGGGGGTGTGGTGCTGCCGATTCCATTGCCGAGTGTTAACCCACAGGCTGAAAAGCCAACCCGTGAGAGCACCAGGAGCTCATATTGCTCCTTCGACGCAGCTGGCTTTCTTCTCCCTTTTCTCCTTTGCCATGTCGTCTGAATCGTATGGAATGAATGGATTGACATGCATGGGCTGTGATGGCATTACATGGCACGTGGCATGGTGTGCTCATCTCTGCAACATGGTTGGCATGTGACATGGCATGTGACGTGGCATGTGACGTGGCATGTGACGTGGCATGTGATGCTGTCCCTCTCAGCTGCCTCGAGTGGTGGGCATCACCATGGGTCGCATGCTCTCCTTTGGGGATGCCGCTCGCCTCCTCTTCGTGCGGACACTCATCCAGGTGCGCCCATGACCATCCCCACACCACACCGCACCACACCTGCAACCACATGCAGTTTTTCCTCTTCGTGCGAACTCTCATCCAGGTGCATCCCCACGCCACACCTGCAAGCACATGCGCACATGGCCCACTCACACATCCAAACGTGTCTTCCCTCATTTCACACCCCTCCTCCCCTCTTTCTCCCCCCTCCCGTCCGCCACCCCAATTTTCTTCACTTCTAACATCCCAGAAGCGTCGTCAATCGAATCTTCTCCCTTTCCCCACTCTGGTCTGTTTACCCACCTTCCACCACTCCCGCATTCTTGACCCACCTTCCACCACTCCCGCATTCTTGACCCACCTTCCCGCGCTGCCAGCACCCCAGCCCCTCCCTGTGGACCAAACTCCCACTTCTGAGGTGCCAACAACAAACGTGCTTTACAAAACGTCTCATCCCCCATCCCACGCCCACCTCCCAGCAGTACCAGCAACCCAACCCCTCTTTCTGAGGCATCTCAATCAAGACATGTCTCCCCACTTCCCCCAACCAGTCTCCCCCTTCCAGAACCGCCAGCACCCCCACCCCTCGACCAAATTCCCTCCTCACACTTCCTACAACAACCCCTCGGCCCCTCCTCTTCCCCCGTATTTTGCACCCCTCGCCCACCTCGCCCACAGCCCACCTACCAGCACCGCCAGCACCCCCACTCCGCTCCTCCTACTTTCCTGAAACCCCTCTCCCCTTGCTCTTTCCCCTACCCCTGTCCCCCCTGTGCTGTGCAGCCCACCTTCCAGCACTGTCAGCACCCCAGCCCCTCCCTCTGGTCCAAGCTCCGCTCCTCGCACTTCCTGCAGCCCCGCGGTCTCCCCCTCCTCAACCCTGACTGGTCCGAGCGCCTCCCCCCCTCCTCCCCCAAGACGCGCTCCCCCCCCGCCGCCATACCCCCCTGGGAGACGAGTGGGGTGAAGGAGGTGATAGTGCTGGAGCCACCAGCAGCAGTGCAGGTGAAGGGCTTTGCCGGGATAGTGGCGGGGCTGAAGGGCAGGTTTGGCGCGGAGCATGTGAGGCTGGTGGGCAGGTTCCAAAGGGATGATGCTCGGGATCTGTTTCCCCGGGCGGCGCTGCTTGTCAGTGTCACGAGCCCGTTTCTTGTCAACCTCGCGTTTCTGCCGCCCCGCGCTGCCCTGCTGGAGCTCCGCCCGCCGCCCGCTGAGGTGGATGCGGTCATCGCTGACTCAGTCGCCAGCCTGGCAGCCGCCTGCCAGATTCACCACCGCGTGATCCGAGGAAGCTTCGTGGAAGGAGCGGCAGGTGGGGGAAGAGGAAAAGGGGCAGAGGAGGGTGCAGGAAAGGGTGTGGTGGAGTGGAGGAGCGGGGCAGTGGAGGCAGCAGCGATGTTTCTGGCTCGAGTGGTGGGCAAGGCATTAACGGCGGATGAGAAAGTGGTAGAGGAGGCAGTTCTGACAGCCGCCGACCGGCGAATGAGAGCCGCGCAGCTGGCGCAGGCATCCACCAGTAAGCAGCCGCTCATTCCCGGCACGCAGATCCAATCTCTGCCGTCCGCCGCCCGCTTCCGGCGCTGGCTGCGGTGCGTGAGTCAGCGCGGGCGATGGGCGTACAACGCAACGCCGCGCATCCTCCCTTGGGAGTACCTGGGAACCATGAACCTGTGCGACCACCGGCACCAGGAGACCACCGGGGGACTCGTGACGAAAAAAGCCGACAAGTATGTGATGGAGGGCGGCGCGTCGGGCGGCTGGAGCGTGCGCGAGTCGCTCAAATACGAGTGGAGAACGCCGCCCGGGAAGTGCCCGATCGGCCCGCTGAGGCAGTTTGACGGGGATACGTTTTGCCGGAAGGCGGAGGGGCGGAAAGGCGGGCTGAATTTGGTGTTTCTGGGGGATTCGTTGGCGCACCAGATGGTTGTCAGCTTCCTCAACGGCCTCCTCAGACACATTCCCAAACCTGCCGTGTGGGCTGTGAATGAAACGATTCCCCAGGAGTGCTCTGATTGGCTGGTGGAGCCCCCAAGGCATGCCTACTGCCGAGTGTACACATTTAACGAGAGTGTTTGTCCCGGCCTCAAGGTTCAATTCGTGCGGAACGACCATCTGTGGTTCACTTCGCCTGGAGAAGCCAAGTTTGACCACATTCCATGGCACTTGTACTCTGGGTTGAACGATGCTCATGTGGTGGTGGTGAATCGAGGCGCGCACTTCATTGGAGGGAAGGACTTCGAGAGGAGTGTGCCGGCTGCGTTGTCATTTCTCCGCAAGAAGCTGCCCGACGCGCTCATCATCTGGAGGAACACCCCCCCCGGCCACGCCAACTGCACCACCTACATTGGGCCGATTAAAAAGCGCCAAAATCCGGAGATTCTGCCGTTCCACTGGGACATGTTTACTCGGCAGAACAAGCTGGTGCGAGGCATGATGCATGAGATGGGAGCAGTGTACATGGATGTGGATACTGCCACCGCGCTGAGACCAGACTCGCACAAAGGCTTTGTGGAAGAGAGGGGGATCCTAGACTGCCTTCACTATTGCACACCCGGTCCGACAGATATGTGGGTGGAGCTTCTAGCTGATATAATATTGCGTGGAGTTTATGGGGATGGGCTCGCTCCTTTAGGCGTGACATGAAAAAATACGGTATATGGTTTTAAGTTTCAAGTTCAAGTTCTATAAATGGTTGTAACATAACCAGTACAATGCAGAGGCTACTGTATACTCTGGTGTGCATGAGACGGAGGCCAGACAGTGGCATGGCTGAATTCACGTAAGGTAACATCATGCAGGTACAATGCATGGCCCTTTCCCCCCTCTTGAAGGTTAGGCCCCTAACCTCTGGGTGGGCCCTGTTTTAAACTAGTAGTACAGGAACAGCATTAGAAGGTAGCAGTGCAATGTACGGTAGTCTGCTTCATGTACATGCCCACATTGTTCATGCTGTCACCTGTCTCCTTTTCATCAGTTCCTCCACCATCTCTCTCACTCTTCGCTCGTTTGCGCCTGCGCTCAGCAACCCTTCTGCCTTATCACCACCACCATCACCGAGACCCACAGCAATGCCGCTTGCATACCTATCACCCGCATCACCAACTCGGCTGCCCAATCTGGCCGCTTCTTCAGCCGGTGGAAAAACCTCACCAGCACCACTTGCAGCAACCACGTCAGCAGCTCGCACAATGCCACGTGGCAGCATCTCATTGGCTACCAGACCATCAGCCTCTGCCAGCCTCAGCTGCTGCCTCCTGCCTCCTGGGCCGAACCAATGCTCCGCTCTCCCTTTCCCTTCGCTCTCCACCCATCCTCTCTCAATTCCTTTTCTTTCCACGCCTCCCCTCTCCTCACCCTCTCCTCTTTCATCACCCTCTCTCCCACTCCCACGGCCCACACGCCCACCACCGCCATACCCATCACTCCATGCATTTGCCGGTGCCTTTCGCTTCACTTGGATTCCACGCTCCCACCCGTGCTGAGTGGCAGGCTTATAAACAGAACCCGAGCCGGGCTTGTAAGGAGGAAGTGGTGGATGACGGGCAAGGCTGTGTTGTGATTGGCTGTGGGATGGCACAGGCAGGATGGGGCGAGAGAGCTCGTGATTGGTGCGGGAGAGAGAAAGGGGCACGTGGTGTGAGGCTGGAAGCAGTTGGGAGTGTGGGGGCGGTTGGTTGATGTGCGCAGCCTGGGTGGATGGATGAGGAAGCTGCAACAGAGGAGGGGGGGGGGAGGGTGAAGGGGAGGGGGTGGGTCGGGATGGTAGGAGAGAGGTGCGAGGGGCCAAAGCAGCCGCGGCAGCGTAGGAAGGGGCGGAGGAGCGGAGAAGGCTGATGGACGTGGGGAGACCGGGTATAGGCACACTGCTTGCATGCCATGCTTTGCTGCTAACGTAAGATTGATATGGCTCAATCCAGTATGGCAAGGAAGGAGGTGCTGGGGCTGCAAGCAAAGGGGGGAGCTCTGCTGATGACACCACCTCATTCCCCCCGTCTTCCTCTGAATTGTCGTCCATCACACCCTCGCTTGCTGCGCTCGCTGCAGCAGCACCACCCACCCACGCACTGCCACTGGTTCTGATGAGCTCCCTTGCCATACCCGTCCCAACGAGACCTTCCTGCCTCGTCAGCGCACTCACAGGCAGCATGCTGCCCAACCCCACTGCACCACTTTCCACCGCACTGGCTCCAACCTCTACACCCCCTTCCACTGCCATAGCTGCTGGCACCACAGCAGTGGATTGGCTCAAGGGAGCAAGGGAGGCGAGAGCAGCAGCATGAGGAGCAGCGTGAGCAGCAGGAGGAGCAGAGGGTGCGAGGACAAAGGCGGTGAGGGGAGGGTCTGAGAAGAGAGCATCCAGGCGACGCATCAACACAGGGAGAAGAATGCGCGGCCACACTGGCACCGCACACAACCTCCCTGCACTCCTCGCACTCCCCGCACCCCCTTGCTCCCCTCCTTGCTCCCCGGGCTGACCTTGCTCCGCCCCACTCCTCCACACCACTCCACACCCCTCTGCCAGCAGTTGTTGCGCCAGAAGCACTGGGGAGGTCTGATCGCCCTGCACCAGGCGAAGGAAGGAGTTGAGTGCGGTCGAGAGCGGGGCCAGCTGGGGGTGCAGCTGGGGGGCTAGAGAGGACAGGTGGGGCGGCAGAGAGAGGGTGGGTGAAGGGGATGAGGAGGGGGAGGTGAGGGAGGGTTGCTGAGGGGAGGAGAGGTGGAGGGCGGGGAAGTGGGGTAGGCGGAGAGAGGAGAGGGCAGTGGTAAGGCGGGAGGTGCGAGAAGGGCTGTTCCAGTCAATAGGAGGCAGAGAGGCGGATAGCAGAGAGACCTCTAGTCTACCAGCTGCCTCTGAAGCTGCACTGCCCGCCTTGCTTCTGCTCTCTCCCATTTCACTGCCCCCGCTTTCTCCGCTGACCTCCCTTTGTCTCCCACCCTTACGTCCACCCATCAGCTGCAGCAAAGCAGGCAGTTCAGGCAGAGGGGTTCCACTGCCAGGGGGTGAGGCCCTGACAGCTGTCGCAACGTCATTGGCCGCGCTGTCCAGGCTGGCGTTGAACTCAGTGATGCACTCCTGTGGCCGCACCAGTGAGGGGTCCACGGCCAATAGCCGCGTGACACGTGGCGACAGGTGGCGCAGCACGAGATCGCGGAGGGGGATTGGAGCAAGCTGAGGTGGCAGAGGGGAGGAATCGGCCAACCACCGCAGGCCACTTGTCAGGGCAATCTTGGCAGGCCAATCAGGAGAAGCCAGGTCATCAGGTTGAGGGGGAGTAGATTGGCCAAGAGGGAGGATGCGGAGAGCAGAGAGGCGCGGGGCTGGAGGGGAGGAACGAGAGGGTGGTGGACGGGTGGAGGGGGGTTGGAAGTGGGAGAGGGTGAGGGAGGCGAAGGAGGAGGGAACGGGCACAGGGGCACAGGGGCCTGTGCAGAGAGACATGGATGCTGCTGCTGCTGCTGCTGCTGCTGCTGCTGCTGCTGCTGCTGCTGCTGCTGCTGCTGCTGCTGCTGCTGATGATGATGGTGGTGGCGGGTGGGGAGGCAGGACGAGGAGCAGCAGGGGGATGGGAGTGAGGGAGGTCGGGAGCGACGCCACGGCCTGTCTGATGCGCTGCACCTGGGGCCCTGCATTGCTGCTGCCATCCACAACACACACCATCGCCTGGGCTCCTTCCAGGAACCTTCCACCATCCCCTCCCTGCGCTTCTGCCGAGACCCTCCTCACCACGAGCCAGAAAAGCGAGTCGGATACTGACCCTGACCCTGCTCCTCCTGACCCTGCTCCTCCTGACCCTGCTCCTCCTGACCCTGCTCCTCCTGACCCTGCTCCTCCTGCTCGCGTGATTTCACCTGAAGCAGCACCTGATGCACCACCTGGCAGCTTGGGTGCTGCCTCCCCTGCTGCAGTACGGTGTGGCATGGGAGCCACGTAACAGGCGAGCAATGAGGGGTCAGTGGGCTGCGAGGCAGATGTGGGGGCATTCTCTGGGTTGGGGACCGGGGCGGTTGCTGCACTGCTGTGAGGCGTGGTGTGTGGTTCTGTGTGGTGTTGGAGGGCGTTGAGGGCGTGGGAGGGGGCAGAGAGGGTGCTGCAGAGCCAGTGTGTGGCGTCACGGACTGGTGATGGCGTGTCCTGCAGCACATGGATTTGCGATGGGAAAGGCACGCGAGGTAGTTGGAGAGACATGCCTTTGTGCATGGTTCGGTTGGGAGCAATGATGGATGGCACCACGTCGACACAAGGCAGCAATGATGGATGGCACCACGTCGACACAAGGCAGCAATGATGGATGGCACCACGTCGACACAAGGCAGCAATGATGGATGGCACCACGTCGACACAAGGCAGCAATGATGGATGGCACCACGTCGACACAAGGCAGCAATGATGGATGGCACCACGTCGACACAAGGCAGCAATGATGGATGGCACCACGTCGACACAAGGCAGCAATGATGGATGGCACCACGTCGACACAAGGCAGCAATGATGGATGGCACCACGTCGACACAAGGCAGCAATGATGGATGGCACCACGTCGACACGATTGCTTGGTTCCACATCGGTATGACAAGACCATTCCACGTGAATGAACACACCTGCGACTCGCGCTCTGGCCAGCACACAAGAAGCTTCCACGAAACCACTCGGCGCACACCCAGCAGCGGCCCAGCGCTGCTGGATGGCACGTGTCTGCGCGCAAGCCTACCGCCCACCAGCCGTGCCACGTCCAGGGGAGAGGGCGCAGCAAAGGCAGTGGGAGCAGCGAAGCCGGCTTTCCCCCATAAAGAAGATGGATGCAGGAACCTGGGGCCATCGGCACTGGGTGCTGCTACGCCACGCCGGCTACCTGCTGTACCAACCCCACGCTCGGCGCTTGCCCTGCCCAATGCCGGGGCTCCCCATGTTGCTGCTCCCCATGTTGCTGCTCCCCATGTTGCTGCTCCCCATGTTGCTGCTCCCCATGTTGCTGCTCCCCATGTTGCTGCTCCCCATGTTGCTGCTCCCCATGTTGCTGCTCCCCATGTTGCTGCTCCCCGCAACCGCTTGTGCGGGGCTTGCTGGGGTGGCAGGAGGGAGGGCAGCACATAGAGAGTGGGGGACCGGGGGAACATGAAGTGTGGCAGGGGAGAAGCAAGAGGAGCCCTTTCAGTGTCCCGCATGTGGATTCTTAGCAGCCACGAGTGGGTGCTCAGAACAAGAGTGTTAGTGTGCATCGTTCACAGCCGCACCTGTGCCTCGCCCACAGCACCACCAGCAACGCACACACACTACCTTGGTGGACTCACTAGGTGCTTTTGAGAGTGATAGAAAAACTGCTCGCCCATAGGAGCACCACCAGAACAGCACAGCACAGTACCGCACAGCACAGCACAGCACAGCACAGCACACCACAGTACCGCACAGCACAGCACAGTACAGAACAGCACAGCACAGCACAGCACAGCGCAGCGCAGCGCAGCACAGCACATATTACCTTGGATGCCACCACAGTCGGCTGCGAAACAATCGAGCCCTCCAGCTGCCAATCACTGACTGCCAGCTGGCGCAGCCGTCTCAGCTGCCCCATCTGAGCAGCATTCTGCCTCCACCTCCTCACAACGCGCCGCAGCCACACACCCCTCGCCTTCCGCCCCGCCTCTTCCAACGCTGCCCGCTCCCTCTCCTCCTCCTCCCTAGCCCTCCTCTGCCTCTCCTCCTCCTCCTCCTGCTGCCTCCTCTCCTGCTCCTTTCTCTCTTGCTCTCTCTTCGTGCTCTCCTGCCTCTCCCTCTCCCTCTGCTCCGCTTCCCTCTTCTCCCTCTCCACCCTCGCTCTCTCCTTCAGAATCCTCTCCCTCATTTCCATCTCTTTCCTTCTTCTCTCTTGCCTCACCTGCTCCTCCCTCTCCTTTTCCCTCCTTTCCCTCTCCGCTGCTTCTGCCTCCCTCTGCTGCCTCTCCTCCTCTTCCCTCGCCTTCCTCTCCTCCTCCTGCCTCTTCACCTGTACCTGGAGTGCAGCCCTCCTCTCAAGCTCCCTCACTCGCTCCCTCTCTCGCTCCATCTCCCTCTCTAACACCCTCTGCTTCTCTTCCATTGCCTTAATCTGCTCTTCCCTTTGCCTCTGCTCCATCATCAGTTTCTGCTGCTGCAACTGCTGCTGCTGCAGTCGTTGCTGCTGCTGCTTCTGCAGCCACGCTTCCTGTCTTCTCCGCTGCTCCTCTGCCCGCTGCTGCCTCTCCACCTGCCCGCCACCCGTCTCCTCCCCTCCTCCCGCCCCACTGCTGACCTCAGCAATGACATCATCAATAAACCGGCTCTGCTTGCTGCGCACAAGGGCAGACGAGGAGGGAGGCATGGGCGTCCCAGCCTGCACCAAGGGTGCACCCTTCACCAGGCAGCTCCCGGCCAGCAGGGCGGCTGCGGGGGAGGCTGTATCTGGGAAGGTGGCATCTGGAGGGGCGTCTGAAGGGTGCAGCGCCAAGCCGTGGTGCTCCACCAGCGCCTGCAGCTTCTCTGGCTCTTGCTGGTGCGGGGAGGATTGGTGGGGAGGAAAAAGGCGAGAGTTGGAGGAGAATGAGGGAGAGAGGGGAAAGGAGGGGAAGTGAGTGATTGTTTGCAGCTTCCCTCCCAAGCCATGTGCTCCACCAGCGCCTGCAGCTTTTCTGGCCTTTGCTGGTGCGAATTTAGGAGGGGGAAAAAGAGGGAGGGGAGAGGAGGGAAGAGGAAGGGAGAGCCGGAGAGAGGAGAAAAGAGAGAGGAGAAGACACGGGGTGAACAGGAGCAAGGTGGGAAAGCGAAAAGAGAAAGACATAAAACAAAGCTAAGGAGCAAAGTGAAGCCCGTACCTCCATGCCGAACCTGCAGACCATTTGCCGAGCCTGCAGACCATACCTTCATGCCAAGCCAGCAGCTCGTACCTCCATGCCGGGCCTGCCGTCCGTACCTCCATGCCGAGCCAGTGCGCGAGTGTGAGGGCTGGCAGGTGCTGGCCCTTGGCAATGGATGCATACACCGCTGCCAGCGCTCTGGCACGCATCTGCGACGGGGGCGCGGGGAAAGGGAGGGGCGATGTGCGCATGAGAAAGAGAGGGTGACACGTCACACACCTCTGAACGAGGGATGTGCATTGGGAGGGAGAGGGAGTGCACCTCTGGATGGGTTTGGTTGGTGGAGCAATCAGAGAGCTTTCAGAGAGGCGTAATTGTCAAGGGCATGCAATGAGCATCCAGTGAAGTCCATGATATCAATGTAATGATTGAACGCCATCCAATGAGTGAGCCCGCAGCGCTGCAGCTTTGCTCGGACCTTGCTGAAGTGCGCGTGCATGAGGCACGCCTGCAGGTACGTGGCCTGGCGAGCCAAGCGGAAGAAGGCCACAAAGTTGTGCGTTCGACACGCCCTGAGAGGGGTGGATGGATGGAGGGGAGAGGAGGACGGGGAGGACGTGGAGGAAGGGGAGGTGGGGGAGGAGGGGGGGGAAGGGGAGGAAGAGGAGGAAGGGGAGGGGGGGGAGTCAGGGGATGAAGAGGAGGAAGGGGAGGAAGGGGAGGAAGGGGAGGAAGGGGAGGAAGGGGAGGAAGGGGAGGAAGGGGAGGAAGGGGAGGAAGGGGAGGAAGGGGAGGAAGGGGAGGAAGGGGAGAGAAGGTGAAGGTGAAAAGCGAGAGCGCGCGAAGCAGAGACAAGAGACAAAGAAACAAAATGAGCATCGAGGTAGGCGCCAAGCGGAGAAGGCTGGTAGATGGAGACATGCCCGTTGGCATGAGCAATAGAACTACGACATTGCCTCAATTGGTAACAACCCCATAGAGGGGATCCCTCAACGTGTGAGTGTAGCACTACAGAGGTTTGCGGCTGGCTAGCACGCAAGGCAGTGAAGGGGTAACGGGCGCGTCGCAGACAGAACTTCCAGGTTAGCTGACCGGCTGCTCCATGTGCTATTATAACATGCAACCAGCCCCCAGAGCATTTGGAATGTTCGTAACGAACCCACCTTGCAACGGAGCGAGCAAAGACGACTTGAGGGCTGCTCCTGACGATGTGGGGGAGGAGAGAGAGCTCCCTCGCAAACTCCGCCGGCTCAACCTGTTACAGTCACAGTCACAATCACAGTCACAGTCACAGTCACACCACCGTGCACTAGAGTCACTTCGGCATGTAGCACAAATCAAAGGAGCTCTATCCATCTGGTATGTCCGCCCTATCCATCTGGTATGTCCGCCCTATCCATCTGGTATGTCCGCCCTATCCATTTGGTATGTCCGCCCTATCCATCTGGGGGGGTAATGTGCAGGCAACAAGCGTCACCCATCCATCTCAACTCATGTTCAGGCAACATGCGCTATCAATCTCGGCTCATGCTCTCATACACCCAACGAATCGCACTTCGCAGCAACCCGTGTTTACAAATGCAATGGTCATCAAAAGCTCATTGTCCCCCCATCTACTGACGGACTCACATTGAACCCCGGAAGCCGGTCGATCTTAAGCAGCAGGTAGTACCCCCTCAGCTCTGCCTTGTGCTGCCACAGACACTGTCATCACGATGCAGCATCACAAGCTCACAACCCCAGCCAGCCAGCCACTGTACATGCGACTCACATTGAACCCCGGATGGCGGTCGATCTTGAGCAGCAGGTAGTACCCCCTCAGCTCCCCCTCCTGCGCCAAACACGCCTGCAACTCCCCCACCTCCCCCTCCTCCCCGCCCTCGCTCGCCATCGCTTGTGCGTGCTCGAGGTCGCTGCGGCGGTCGTGGTACATGTGGAAGAGGTCGACGCACGCCTTGTTCATCTGCTCGATGTTCAGGTGCGCGTCAAAGCCGTCGCTGAATCCCTCTCCCTTGGGGTACTCGCACAGCTCGTGCATCGCCACTATGTGGAACCGCACCTGGGGGGTGAAACAAGGAAGAGGGGGAGGGAGGGAGGAGATGTGCGAATAGGGAAGTCAAGGATGGCAAGGGCCCGTGTGTGACCACAAAGTGGAAGCGCAGCTCGGGTTGGGAGAGAGAGGGAGGAGGAAGTAAGGCGTGGGCAAGAGGAAGCAATGGGATGGGATGGAACCGAGCTCCAATTGGGGTGACTTTTGACTCCCATTCTCAACAGTCAATGGGATGGGATGGGATGGGATGGGATGGGATGGGATGGGATGGGATGGGATGGGATGGGATGGGATGGGATGGGATGGGATGGGATGGGATGGGATGGGATGGGATGGGATGGGATGGGATGGGATGGGATGGGATGGGATGGGATGGGATGGGATGGGATGGGATGGGATGGGATGGGATGGGATGGGATGGGATGGGATGGGATGGGATGGGGGGATGGGATGGGATGGGATGGGATGGGATGGGATGGGATGGGATGGGATGGGATGGGATGGGATGGGATGGGGATGGGATGGGATGATGGATGGGATGGGATGGGATGGGATGGGATGGGATGGGATGGGATGGGATGGGATGGGATGGGATGGGATGGGATGGGGATGGGATGGGATGGTATGGGATGGATGGGATGGGAATGGGATGGGATGGGATGGGATGGGATGGGATGGGATGGGATGGGATGGGATGGGATGGGATGGGATGGGATGTGCTGTGATCTGATGGGATGGGATGGGATGGGATGGGATGGATGGGATGGGATGGGATGGGATGGGATGGGATGGGATGGGATGGGATGGGATTGGATGGGATGGGATGGGATGGGATGGGATGGGATGGGATGGGATGGGATGGATGGGATGGGATGGGATGGGATGGGATGGGATGGGATGGGATGGGATGGGATGGGATGGATGGGATGGATGGGATGGGATGGGATGGGATGGGATGGGATGGGATGGGATGGGATGGGATGGGATGGGGATGGGATGGGATGGGATGGGATGGATGGGATGGATGGGATGGGATGGGATGGGATGGGATGGGATGGGATGGGATGGGATGGGATGGGATGGGATGGGATGGGATGGGATGGGATGGGATGGGATGGGATGGGATGGGATGGGATGGGATGGGATGGGATGGGATGGGATGGGATGGGATGGGATGGATGGGATGGGATGGGATGGGATGGGATGGGATGGGATGGGATGGGATGGGATGGGATGGGATGGGATGGGATGGGATGGGATGGGATGGGATGGGATGGGATGGGATGGGATGGGATGGGATGGGATGGGATGGGATGGGATGGGATGGATGGGATGGGATGGGATGGGATGGGATGGATGGGATGGGATGGGATGGGATGGGATGGGATGGGATGGGATGGGATGGGATGGGATGGGATGGGATGGGATGGGATGGGATGGGATGGGATGGGATGGGATGGGATGGGATGGGATTGGATGGGATGGGATGGGATGGGATGGGATGGGATGGGATGGATGGGATGGGATGGGATGGGATGGGATGGGATGGGATGGGATGGGATGGGATGGGATGGGATGGGATGGGATGGGATGGATGGGATGGGATGGGATGGGATGGGATGGGATGGGATGGGATGGGATGGGATGGGATGGGATGGGATGGGATGGATGGGATGGGATGGGATTGGGATGGGATGGGATTGGATGGGATGGGATGGGATGGGATGGGATGGGATGGGATGGATGGGATGGGATGGATGGGATGGGATGGGATGGGATGGGATGGGATGGGATGGGATGGGATGGGATGGGATGGGATGGGATGGGATGGATGGGATGGGATGGGATGGGATGGGATGGGATGGGATGGGATGGGATGGGATGGGATGGGATGGGATGGGATGGGATGGGATGGGATGGGATGGGATGGGATGGGATGGGATGGGATGGGATGGATGGGATGGGATGGGATGGGATGGGATGGGATGGGATGGGATGGGATGGGATGGGATGGGATGGGATGGGATGGGATGGGATGGGATGGGATTGGATGGGATGGGATGGGATGGGATGGGATGGGATGGGATGGGATGGGATGGGATGGGATGGGATGGGATGGGATGGGATGGGATGGGATGGGATGGGATGGGATGGGATTGGATGGGATGGGATGGGATGGGATGGGATGGGATGGGATGGGATGGGATGGATGGGATGGGATGGGATGGGATGGGATGGGATGGGATGGGATGGGATGGGATGGGATGGGATGGGATGGGATGGGATGGGATGGGATGGGATGGGATGGGATGGGATGGGATGGGATGGGATGGGATGGGATGGATGGGATGGGATGGGATGGGATGGGATGGGATGGGATGGGATGGGATGGGATGGGATGGGATGGGATGGGATGGGATGGGATGGGATGGGATGGGATGGGATGGGATGGGATGGGATGGGATGGGATGGGATGGGATGGGATGGGATGGGATGGGATGGGATGGGATGGATGGGATGGGATTGGGATGGGATGGGATGGATGGGATGGGATGGGATGGGATGGGATGGGATGGGATGGGATGGGATGGGATGGGATGGGATGGGATGGGATGGGATGGGATGGGATGGGATGGGATGGGATGGGATGGGATTGGATGGGATGGGATGGGATGGGATGGGATGGGATTGGATGGGATGGGATGGGATGGGATGGGATGGGATGGGATGGGATGGGATGGGATGGGATGGGATGGGATGGGATGGGATGGGATGGGATGGGATGGGATGGGATGGGATGGGATGGGATGGGATGGGATGGGATGGGATGGGATGGGATGGGATGGGATGGGATGGGATGGGATGGGATGGGATGGGATGGGATGGGATTGGATGGGATGGGATTGGATGGGATGGGATGGGATGGGATGGGATGGGATGGGATGGGATGGGATGGGATGGGATGGGATGGGATGGGATGGGATGGGATGGGATGGATGGATGGGATGGGATGGGATGGATGGATGGGATGGGATGGGATGGGATGGGATGGGATGGGATGGGATGGGATGGGATGGGATGGGATGGATGGATGGGATGGGATGGGATGGGATGGGATGGGATGGGATGGGATGGGATGGATGGGATGGGATGGGATGGGATGGGATGGGATGGGATGGGATGGGATGGGATGGATGGGATGGGATGGGATGGATGGGATGGGATGGGATGGGATGGATGGGATGGGATGGGATGGGATGGGATGGGATGGGATGGGATGGGATGGGATGGGATGGGATGGGATGGGATGGGATGGGATGGGATGGGATGGGATGGGATGGGATGGGATGGGATGGATGGATGGGATGGGATGGGATGGATGGGATGGGATGGAGGGATGGGATGGGATGGGATGGGATGGGATGGGATGGGATGGGATGAAGATGGGATGGGATGGATGGGATGGGATGGGATGGGATGGGATGGGATGGGATGGGATGGGATGGGATGGGATGGGATGGGATGGGATGGATGGGATGGGATGGGATGGGATGGGATGGGATGGGATGGGATGGGATGGGAATGGGATGGGATGGGATGGGATGGGATGGGATGGGATGGGATGGGATGGGATGGGATGGGATGGATGGGATTGGATGGGATGGGATGGGATGGGAGTGGATGGGATGGATGGATGGGATGGGATGGGCTGGGATGGGATGGGATGGGATGGGATGGGATGGGATGGGATGGATGGGATGGGATGGGATGGGATGGGATGGGATGGGATGGGATTGGATGGGATGGGATGGGATGGGATGGGATGGGATGGGATGGGATGGGATGGGATGGGATGGATGGGATTGGATGGGGATGGGATGGGATGGGATGGGATGGGAGGGGATGGGAATGGATGGATGGGAGGATGGGATTGGGATGGGATGGGATGGGATGGGATGGGATGGAGATGGATGGGATGGTCGGTGATGGGATGGAGATGGGATGGGATGGGATGGGATGGATGGGATGGGATGGGATGGGATGGGATGGGGATGGATGGGATGGGATTGGATGGGATGGATGGGATGGGATGGGATGGGATGGGATGGGATGGGATGGGTGGGATGGGATGGATGGATGGGATGGGATGGGATGGGATGGGATGGGATGGGATGGGATGGGATGGGATGGGATGGGATGGGATGGGATGGGATGGGATGGGATGGGATGGATGGGATGGGATGGGATGGGATGGGAATGGGATGGGATGGGATGGGATGGGATGGGATGGGATGGGATGGGATGGGATGGGATGGATGGATGGGATGGATGGATGGGATGGGATGGGATGGGATGGGATGGGATGGGATGGGATGGGATGGGATGGGATGGGATGGGATGGGATGGGATGGGATGGGATGGGATGGGATGGGATGGGATGGGATGGGATGGGATGGGATGGGATGGGATGGGATGGGATGGGATGGGATGGGATGGGATGGGATGGATGGGATGGGATGGGATGGGATGGATGGGATGGGATGGGATGGGATGGGATGGGATGGGATGGGATGGGATGGGATGGGATGGGATGGGATGGGATGGGATGGGATGGGATGGGATGGGATGGGATTGGATGGATGATGGGATGGGATGGGATGGGATGGGATGGGATGGGATGGGATGGGATGGGATGGGATGGGATGGGATGGGATGGGATGGGATGGGATGGGATGGGATGGGATGGGATGGGATGGGATGGGATGGGATGGGATGGAACCAAGCGCCAATCGGGGGAGGAACAACAACATACTACTGCGTGGCTTGGAGGTGCCATCTCATCGCCACTGAGTGGAACGACACTCTCATGGCTTCCCCTTTTTATGCAACATTTTTTTTTCCCCTTCATAGCGCAGACAGCACCATGCCTCACCATCTGCTCGTGCATGTTAATCGCCTCGCGCCCAAACAGGTGCTGCATGCGCAGGTCAGCGCGAACAGCCCTCATGCGATCCCACAGGAACGAGTGCAGCAGCAGCAGCCGCATCCCCGGCCCCCCCGCGCCCCCTGCTTCCTCCCCCCCGCCTTCCCCCTCCATCTCCCCCTCCTCCGCGCCCCCCTTGGTCGCGGAGGGCGGGGGGGGGAAGGGGAGGTGCAGCAGGGAGAGCATGTGCGCCATGGTGGTGTGGAGAACGGGCATGGGGCGGATGAACGAGGGGTCCATGTTGGGCGCGCGGGAATACTGGGGGGGGGGGGGGGGGGGGGAGGGGGAATTGGGGGGAGGGAAAGAGAGAGGGGTAATTGGGGAACGAGGGGAGGTGAATGGGGGAGAAGGAGGGGATAGATAGAAGGTGCCTCAGAGTGTTATGCAGCACAGTGAGTGGGAGGATGAAAGAAGGAGCCATGTTGTGGGCGCCAGATACTGAGGGAGGGGGAAGGGGGGCGGGACGGGACAAGGTGGATGGGAATGGGCGGAATGGCTTTGGATTGAGTGGATGCGGAATACTGGGAGCGGGAAATAAGACGGCGGAGTAGACATGTGCACTGAGTCGAGTTTCTCGACTCGACTCGATCGGGGGACTCGACACGGGTCGAGTGTCGAGTCCGCGAATCCTCTGAAAAAACTGGACCGAGTCGAGTCGAGTTTTACCCGTCGAGTTTAAAAAAAGCTCGGTGAAAGCTCGGCCCCACATCGAGTTTTTTGCAGACTCGACGAGCTTTTGAGGCTCGAGCGAGTTTACGAAAAACTCGGTCGCGACATTGGCAGCAAGGACAAATTGTAAGAATTTCACTTTGGCGGGGTTCTTTTTAGATCGCGATTTCAGTTAGTCCTCTTCCTAAGCCCTTCGTAAGTGGAAACTTGAGCCTAGACAGCCAAAATCGTGGCTGGTTTTTCATCTTAAACTTAAGTTAGGTCTAGGAAATTGTAGATCTCTCAGTTTATAGTTTGTTAATGTCGCGTTTTTCTCATGTGCATTTTTCCGATTAGGGTTTCCTGAGGCGGAATCGCACCTATTGAACGGTAGATCTGGTTTATTTATGATGGCCAAATTTAAGCAAGGGGTGAGTAAGAACCTTTATACAAAAAAATTTGGTGTTTCCACAGCCCCCGCCGCCCCCCCCCCCTCCTCCCCCCCCCCCCCCCGAGCCGAGTTTTACTCGGCTCGACCGAGTGTAAGAGAAAAGCCCGTCGAGTTTTTTAACACTCAGGCCCTATTTGGCCGAGTCTCGAGTCCAGCATCATGAGAAAAAAACTCGGTCGAGTTTCCCCCGACTCGAGCTCGAACTCGGTCGGGGCTCGAGCCAGACCGAGTCGAGTTTTACTCGACTCGGTCAGTTGCTCATGTCTACGGCGGAGGCATGAACAACTGAGGAGAAGGAGGCGGCAGAAAGAACCTTCCTATCTTCCCTCACGGCTGTTCTCTCCCTCTCCGCTTTCCCTCTCACACATCTCATCTTCTTCACCAACAGCTGCACACTCGTCTTGCTGCTGTCGCCATTGACAAAGTCTTCCCCCCCCCCTTTCCCCCTTTCTAACTCACCACATCCATTACACACACCTCACCTGCTTAATCGCCAGCTGCATGCTCGTCCTGCTGCGGTCCTCGCTCAAACACGTCCAGCACCTCTCTTCCCCTCACAGCACATCCCCTCACAGCACATCCCCTCTCACACTGCACGCACACCGCACCTTCTTGATGGCCAGCTGCACACTGGTTCTGCTGCGGTCCCCGTTGACGCGCTCAAACACGTCCAGCGCGCCGCTGCGCTCCCTTACCTCCCTCTCGTGCGCTGGTGGGGGAGGGCGAGGAAGGAGGAGGGATGGAGAGTGGAGAAGGAGAGACGATGAGGAGGGAAGGGGAAGACGATGTGAAGGGGGGGGGAGTTGGGAGAGGCGGAGACGAGAGGAGGGGAGAAGGGGGTGGAGAGGGGGAGGGGGAGAGGGCAGGTGGGGAGAGGGGAGGAAAGGAGTGCAGGATAGAAACGATGGGGGGAAGGAGGGAAGGCGGAAAAGGAAGGAGGGGGTGGTTTACTAGGAGCACATGTGTTGCTGTGCTGTGGTGAGTGTGAGAAGAGAACACATGCAGAGCAGAGATATGGTTCCACTTCCCAGTCCCACCCACGTGTGAAAGAAACATTCAAGATGATCCTACCGACATACACACCAACCTACCAACCTGCATGCATGCATGCCAGCGCAAGCAGACACATACACACCAGGGCACATGTCAGGGCATGTTCCCACAACGGCCTCTGCCAGCTGCCAGTCCGCCTCGTCGCCTCCCCCCTCCCCCTCCTCTGTGGCCCCTCCCCCGCCCGCAACCATCCCCATTCCTCCCCCTCCTCCCCGTCCTCCCCCTCGTCCCCCTCCCAAATCTTCTCCCCCTTCCCCGCCCTTCCCCCCATCCTTCCCCGCGCCCCCAGCGCCCTCCTCCGCGCCATCTCCCGGCGCCACCTCCCCAAACCTCGCTCTGCGCCGCGCCAGCGCAGCAGCGTCGCCCAGCAGGCTGGCGGAGGCGCCACCGGGAGGGCGCGCACGCGGGGGGGAGGGGGACTGCTGCGCGGATCTGGGGAGTGGCGGCGATGGGGACCGGTTTGCTGAAGTCAGCGCGGGAAAATCAGCTGGTGAACTGTGGGGGTAGGTGGAGGGGGCGGGAGGGGAGGGGGAGAGGAAGGGGGAGCGGAAGGGGGAGAGGAAGGGGGAGAGGAAGTGTTTGGAGTAGAGGTGGAAGGGTTTGGGCAGGAGGGGGGTTGTGGGCAGGAGGGGGGTTGTGGGCAGGAGGGGGGTTGTGGGCAGGAGGGGGGTTGTGGGCAGGAGGGGGGTTGTGGGCAGGAGGGGGGTTGTGGGCAGGAGGGGGGTTGTGGGCAGGAGGGGGGTTGTGGGCAGGAGGGGGGTTGTGGGCAGGAGGGGGGTTGTGGGCAGGAGGGGGGTTGTGGGCAGGAGGGGGGTTGTGGGCGAAGGCACGGGAGTTGGGGAATGGGGAGCACGAGGGGGAGGAGCGAAAGAGGAGGCAGCAGGGAACGGCCGGGCAAAGCGGTGGATAAGCCGAACTCGGGGGACGAAAAGGTGGTTCCGAGGGGCGCACGTGCGAGAGGACGATGCGCAGGGGGCACTGGAAAGGCGGGCGAGCACTGGAAAGGCGGGCGAGCACTGAAAAGGCGGGGGCGGGTACTGGGTGGTGACGCGAAGAGGTGACTTCTTGAGTCGACTCAAAAGTCACCTCGCAGAGGGCACTGGAAAGGCGGGCGAGCACTGGGTGGTGACACGACGAGACGACAGCGCGAACGATGACGACGCAACGACGAGGCTACAGCGCGGCGGCGACAGCGAGGCGACGAAGACAAGATGTTCCAACAGAGGGAACGCACTTTAAATTGCTCGCGGGCTGCGACCTTCCGCCTCCCCCCCATACGATGCTGGGCGCAGATCCGCCTCCCCCAGTCGCAGCTTGCACGCCTCCCCCAGTCACCCCGCCGCCCCCAGCTACAGCCTGCGCCCACGAAACAGGTCCCGCCGGCGGAAATGCTGCGGGCGTGCCTCTGCTGGCGAAGGGCGGCTGATTCTCCATGGGGTGCGGAACCAGTGACGGCGGGGATGGCGGAAGAGGAAGGCGCAGGACACGGGTAGCGACTATGTCGTCTTTCAATCTCCTCTCTCTTTCGCGTGGGCGCCTCTCTCTCCCTGAGTGCAGCAACTTCAGTGCGCGATTCCGCACTTGTGTTGCCGACGCTGACCGTTTGGCGCTAACGTCATCGGCAGCATCCGCAGGGCTAAGCTAAGCTAGGTGTGGTGTGAGAGAGCGTGTCGCACTGTCATTCCATTTCGTCGGACCATAGTGCGTGCGTGCATACACTAATGTTTTTTCAGGGATAGTGTTACGAGTGCAATTGAGTGAACGAACGAGATTTGCACTATCTAAACAAGAGTACAATTAGCGAAGGCATGAGCGAAGAAAATATAGCGAAACTACAGTGGTAACGGTAATGGACTGTGGTTGTCGCGTGACGGGCCTGGGACTGAGGTTGGGAAAAGTGTCGAAGCGGGGGCCCGGAGCGCGGGTTACTCGCCGAGCCGTGAGGTCGGGGTGCGACGTGCGAAGATGGCGGGCAGATTGTCGATGTGAGGGTTGCGAGTGGTAACGGTGCTGACTGTGGTGCTACAGTGATGTACGCGTTGAGCAGGGATGCGAAGTAAGGAAAATGAATTTTCCTTAAACTACCCCCCCCTTTGAGGAGGTCCTCCTTACGAGAGTGCGTGTACATCCCTGAAATTTCGGCTGCGCAGATACTCGGTGAGGACGGGGTGGTTTTCGATTCTGTCCAGGGGAACCCAATTGTCTTCGGTGGGTGTACGGTCCTTCCAGCGGAGTAAGAACTCGATCCTTCGGGCTCCTCGAGGGTCGCGAACTCTGTGACTCAGGATTTTTTCGGGGGTGATGATTGGTTCAGTCGGTGGTCTTGTCATGCTGGCTGGGCGATTGCGTGGCAGTTGTCTCGTGGACGGGACGTAAGGGCGAAGAAGGCTGACGTGGAACAAGGGGCTGACGTACCAGTCAGCAGGGAGTAGGAGGTGGGCGGTGACAGGTGTAAGCATGTCGCTTATGCGAAATGGCCCGCAGTATCAGGGGCGGAGTTTCGGGGTGATGGGCAGTCGGAGATTTTGGGTGTCGAGCAAAACTAAGTCGTCGGGCTGGTAAGTGACAGGTCTGCGGTGGCGGTCGGCGTTGCGTTTAGCGATGATGTTAGCTTTTTTAATTGCGTCTGCTGCCCTGGTCCGTGCTGCTTGCAAAATTTCGGCGAACTGTTGCGCGCGTGGAACCGAGTTGTCGGGATTCGGGGTCATGGGTACTGTTGGGTCTTGTCCGTAATTCAGGTAAAACGGTGACTGTTGGGTCGTAAGGGATGGGGCGTTGTTGTATGCGAATTCGATCAGTGGCAGTTGCTATTCCCACGTGTTTGGGTCGTCGCACGTGGCCTGGATGAGTTGTTCCATGGTCTGATTGTGGAAATTGAGAACGAGAATGAATGAACTATGAAACAGTTGGGTACAAATACTAACCCTAATTGGGTTGTACCCCTTATGGGCTACCCCACTACAGCCTACACAAAGCATAAGCTATAATGTTCCGACACACCCCCATAGGCAAAGTGGGGGAGAACAAGGGGTCACAAGACCAGTCAAGCAAAGCAAAGCAAAGCAAGCTCAGGGTGGATCTCAAAGTCACCACACAGTCCGAGCACAAGGTCAAGGCCACAAGGCCAGTTCACATGCAAGAGTACACATATATATAAAGCTAGACAAGCAAGAGCAGGTATATATATATGTGACAGTACAAGCAAAGGTCAAGAGGTGAGCAAGTGAGGCAAGACAGGCACAAGACCCAGCTGAGTGCAGAAGCGCTGATGATCACAAGGCGCAAGTGCCTTGGTGAAGAGATCAGCAGTGTTGGCCTCAGAGGCCACGTACGCAAGCCGCAACTGCCCACGCTGCTGTAGCTCACGAGCAAGGAAGTAGCGAAGAGCAATGTGCTTTGTTCTATGCTCCAGTCGCTGCTCTCGACACAAGGCCAGCACGGCCTTGTTGTCTACATACAGAACTAAAGGAGAACGAGGTGGCTCTCCGAGGTCAGTTAGCAGGTAGGTGAGCCAGCAAAGCTCCTGTGAAGCCAAGCTTCTGTGCAGCCATGGCCCCGGCGTAGATCTCAGCCTTACAACTGGCGCTGAGAACAGAAGACAAGCGAGTAGCCCGCCACGAGACAGAGCCGGAACCAAGGCTCAAGGTGTAACCCTGTGACGACCGCTGTGTAGCCTGGTCGTCAGCCCAGGAAGCGTCTGCGTGCCCAGTGAGGACCACTGGACTGCGCCCTCCAAGCACTAGCCCCATGCCCGACGTACTGCACAAGTAGCGCAACACCCTCTTCGCTGCAGCCATGTGCGCTGGTCGGTGTCTCCCAGGAGCAACATAGCGTGCGAGAATGCTAAGAGGGTATGCAAGGTCAGGTCGAGTGCAGGTCATCAGGTACATGAGGCAGCCAACAAGCTCTGGATACGGGCCACTCGACTCTACGGACTCATCCGAAGGTAGAGCTGAGAGTGAGTGGCGAGTAGGCAGAGGAGTGGCCTGAGGCGAGGAGTACGTGAAGCCGAAGCGCTAAAGGACCTGCTGCACCATGTGTGACTGAGTCAGGGTAATGGTGCGGCGTGCTCTGTCCCGGGTGATCTGCAAGCCAAGGTAGCTGCGCAGTTCACCCAGGTCTGTGCACGTGTGTCTCTTCTGCAGCTCGGACTTCACGTAGGCGAGTCCAGCAGTAACAGCAGTGGCAAAGACCAAGTCGTCGACGTACACGAGGATGTAGAAAGGCGGCAGAGAGGTGTCGTTGCGCAGAAACAGCGACGAGCCAGCAGTAGAAGGAGCAAACCCAAGAGCCGCAAGTGTAGTCCCCAGTGTGTCGTGCCACTCACGGGGCGCCTGGCGGAGACCGTAGACTGGTCGCCGGAGACTCCACTGGGTACCAGGAGGGAACGACCCAGTGAAGCCAAGTGGGCGGCGCAGCCAGATCTCCTCGTGCAGGCTGCCCTGCAAGAAAGCTGTGCTGAAGTCGAGAGAGTGCAGCTCGTAGTCACGGTGAGCAGCAACGTGCAGTAGTACCCGAAGAGTGGTCATCTTCGGGGTGGGAGAGAAGGTCTGAAAGTAGTCAACTCCCTGCCGCTGACTGAAACCACGAGCCACGTACCGTGCCTTGAAGACAGGCGGAGAACCCGGCGGCCGCTTCACCCTGAAAATCCACATGCCACTGACGATGTTCGCCCCATGAGGGGGGACAGCGTCAACGTAGGTGCCTGTGGACTTCGAGGAAGCCATCTCTGCATCCATAGCTGCCTGCCACTGAGAAGAGTAGGGACCCTCTATCGCCTCCGCGTAAGAGCGCGGAGTTGGGATGTCAAGTGCATCCGGGTCTCCCTCAGGGGTAAGCAATACCGACACAAGATGAGGTGAAGTAGCGGCCAAGGACTGGAACTCCTCCTGCCTGTCTTCAAGGACGTCCGTGCCAAGGGCACACTCACCCCCGACGGACGGAGGACAGACAGACTCAGACTCAGCGACAAGACTAGCAGCGTAGTCTAGGCGACAGCGAGCAGCAAAGTCGACGAGCTCAGCAACTAGGGCAGACGCAGTAGTGGACTCAAAGGAAGGGTCAGTGACGACAGTAGCAAGGAGACGCGTGACAGTAGGACGGGCATCACGAAGAGAGTCCGACTCCGGGTCGGCAAGAGCAGGAAGAGAGGACGCAAGAGGAGAAGGCAAAGGGGCACGCAGAGGAGCAGTGGACGGACGCAGAGACATCTGGTGCGTGCCAGGGACAGGAGGAGGACGCTGACGCGAACCGCGACCACTAGTGCGAGCAGCACAAACAGGCGACGCAGGACGAGACGCAGGCTCACGACGCTCAGCAAGACCTCCAGTAGGACCAGTGTAGGGAGAAGGAACAGGTAGTGGGGAGGCAGGCTGTAACTGTAGCTGTGACAGGACAGGTTGTGGACACTCTAAATAAGGAGGAGGACCTGTAGAAGGTGGAAGACCAAGAACCTGCTGCAGGAGTGGAACGAAGTACGGTTGAGGCCGCGCGGCGACGCCACACACAGCAGGGACAGCACCAGGACCCCCAAAAGGAGCACCCGCTCCAGCAGCACCTCCAGCAGCTCCAGAACCTCCAAGAGCACCAGTAGCACCCCCAGCAGGACCGCCAGCAGTAGGCTCAGCACCAACGCCCGCAGCAGCACCAGCTCCAGTCGAACCCGAAGGCCCAGCAGCTCCAGTACTCCCAGTACGAGCACCTCCGGGACCAGCGGCACCAGCACCCTCAGAAGCTGAAGAACCTCCAACTCCAGCAGCACGCCTCCAGCGCCGGGCAAACCACTTGCGCAGCTCGGGTGGAGAGAGTGGCTTCCGGCGAGACGAAGCACCTGGAGGACCTCCAAGCGTAGCACCTCCAAGCTCAGCACCCCCAGGCTCAGCACCCCCAGGCTGAGCACCTCCAAGCGTAGTACCCCCAGGCTCAGCACCCCCAGTCTCAGCACCCCCAGGCTTAGCACCCCCAGACTCAGCACCCCCACGCTCAGCACCCCCAGTCTCAGCACCCCCAGGCTCAGCACCCCCAGTCGCAGCACCCCCAGGCTCAGCACCCTCGGCAGCACCAGAGTCACCAGTAACCTCGACAGGCTCGACGACGTCTACTTGGGACACACCTGAAGGGGCAGGACCCTGAGGGGGGAGGGGGTCTACCGGGGGGGGGGACCTGTTACAAGGAAGAGCGGAGGAGCGGGGAGGGATGGAGTGCGGTAGGGGAAGAGGCGGTAGTAGGGGACTGACTCGTCAAACGTGACGTCCTGGGAGGACAGAACATGGCGGGAGGTGGGGTGGTAGAACTGCCACCCCGGCGCGTCAGGGGGGAACCCCAGGAAGACGCAAGGAGCAGCACGAGGGGACAGCTTGTCCGCAGACAAGTCGCGGACAAACGCCCGAGATCCCCAGACCCGGAACGCCGACGCATCGCCAACCTTCCCTGTCCACAGCAAGGCTGGGGAGGTCTCCGGCCTGGAGACCCTGGGGTGGAGGTTGATCTGATGCGCCGCGTACCTCACCGCAAACGGCCACAGAAAATGGGGGGCAGCCGCATGCATCATGGACGTACGAGCGACGTCCATGACCATGCCAATGCGGCGCTCAGCAATCCCATTTTGCTGCGGAGAGTCCGGAAGCGTGAAGGTCTGACGGATGCCTCGTGCGCGACAGTAGACTCACAGAAGGCCAGAGGAAAACTCTCCGCCTCTGTCCGAGTGCAGACGCAGAACAGGAAAGTCCGAGCCAAAGCTCTGCCTGAGCTGGAGACGAGCTGCGCGGATCCAGTCGATCAGCACCTCAGTGACATCACCCTTGCTGCGCAAGGGGAAGACTGCGGTGTAACGCGAGTAGTCGTCAACAACAAGCAGGAAGTAGCGCTCGTGACCCTGTCCACGGACGCGGGCTGGGTCCCACACGTCCATGTGAAGCGTCTGCAGCGGGGCCTCTGTCGGAGGAAACTGGGAGGAGTGAGGGCATCCCTCTGGCGCCCCTCGACACAGGGGACACAGAAAGGGCCAGGCCCCTGAGGAAGGGGAGGGAGGGACCTGGGGAGACCAAAAACAAGAAGACGAAAGGCCATGCCTCTGAGCCGAAGCAGAGAGAGGTGACCAAGGCGGTGGTGCCAGAGGAGAGTCTCGTGAGAGAGGAGACGACACGAACAGGGGGCATACTCAGGACCAGACCTGGACTCTGCAGCAAACACCTGACCTGACTCAGACACCCTACCAGACTCAGCAACTGGAGGAGATGGAGTGGTCAGTGTGTACAGGCTCGACCCCGGCTGACGTGTAAACGTAGCCAGGTGTCGGCCTGTGCGAGCCTCTGTGAAGTGCCTCACTCGCTGACGCGCAGGAGTGAACTGGTGCACTCCCCCATCCTGTAGGTCAGCACCACTCACCAAGTTCGTAGAGAACGAGGGGAGGTAGAGACCAGACAGGGTGCCAGAGGGAGCCGCCGGACACGGGAGGACTGTGGAGAATTCAGACAGAACAGGACCCCCAGAGGGATCAGCCAGAGACACCGCAACCGGCCGACTAAGCGGCGTGAGTGTGGTGCGGTCCCGAAAGAAGGAGCGAGAAGCCCCAGAGTCAAGGGTGAAGGTGAGGGAGGCCAAAGCCGACGCAGTACCTGAGAGCGCAGACTCACCAGTACCTGAGGATGCAGACGCACTAGCACCTAGAGCAGCAGCGTCGGAAGCACCTAGGGCAGCAGCCGCAGCAGTACCTAGAGCAGCAGTCTCAATGTCCGGATCGGGCGGGAAACACCGGTAACTGTCACCCTCATCACTAATAGTCACAGAATACATGGCAGACAGAATAGCATCAAAATCAAGATCATAGATGGCAACTCCCGCCCTAGACAGCTCGCCCCAGCGAGGGATCTCTGTGGCCTCAGGGAACTGGTGACGCCACGCGTCCGTCAGGCGGCCAAAGCAGCGCTGGGTGGGGTGCGCACCCCCACACTGCTCACCCGCACGGTCGCCGGTGCGCAGGACGTAGGTGCACGGACCAAAACCCCCACCCCGCTGGCGTGCAGTGTACCACTCACGGAGCTGCTGAGTGGACAGGGTCTCACGACCACGCTGCTGCTGCTGACACGGACCACCACCGGAGCCACTCCTCTGCGTAGACCCGCGACCAGCTCCACCGCCACCTCCGACTCCTCCGCCGCCTTCGCCACCACCGCTGCCTCCACCACCACCGCCGCCTCCGCTACCACCGCCTCCTCCGCTCCCTCCGCCACCGCCGCCGCCTCCGCCCCCACTGCTGCCACCGGTACCCCCACCCCCTCCACCACTCCCACCACCACCCCCACTCCCTCCGCCGCCTCCACCGCCACCTCCACCGCCCCCGCCAGCTCCTCCAGCGCCCTTGCCCACCTTGCCCCTGCTTGTGCGGCGCTTCCCCGAAGGGGCAGACACAGCGCCGACCGACTCGAAACCAACGAGGTCGGCCGCAGCAGCAGAAGCGACAGAGGGCAAGAGGGGGGAGGGAGAACACCCCTCAAAGACAGGGTTGCGGGGATCACCACGAGAAGCTCCTACGGCGACTATGCTCTTCTCCGCCGCTAGGAGGGACTTCTCGAGGAGGTCAATGGTGAGAGTGGTGGGGCACACTGCGAGGAAGTGGTCCTTGACCACTCTAAGGGAGTCAGGGAGTCGGTTGACTATGAAGTAGAGGGTGATGTACATGGGGGGGGGGGGGGGGGTTCTAGGCGCAGAAGTCAGCAGGAAGCGCAGCGCGGTAGCGAGTGTCACTAGTGCGAAGGTGCGTAATGAGGTCAGCGACTGTGGGAAAGGCAAAAAGGTCAGGGAAGAGGTACTACAGCGTCGTACAAGGTCTGAGCACTCTTGTACTCACTAAAGTGTGCACGCTCGTGTTGAACAAGGAATGAAATGACTAAGAATGAAATGAGTACAAATATGCAAACCTAGAAGTGTGTACCCCCTATAGGCTAACCCACTGTAGCCTAAACAACTACAACAATATATAATGTTTGACACACCCCCATAGGCGAAGTGGGGGAGAACTAGGGGTCACAAGACCAGTCAAGTAAAGCAAAGCAAAGCAAAGCAAGCTCAGGGTGGATCACAATGTCACCACACAATCCGAGCACAAGTTCAAGGCCACAAGGCCAGTTCACATGCAGGAGTACATATATATATAAGACTAAACAAGCAAGAGCAGTGATATATATATGTAACAGTACAAAGAGGATCAAGAGGAGAGCAAGTGAGGCAAGACAGACACAAGACCCAGCTGGGTACAGCAGCGCTGATGATCACAAGGCGGAAGTGCCTTGGTGAAAACATCAGCAGTGTTGGCCTCAGAGGCCACGTACGCAAGTCGCAACTGACCACGCTGCTGTAGCTCACGAGCAAGGAAGTAGCGGAGAGGAATGTGCTTTGTTCTGTGCTCCAGTCTCTGCTCTCGACACAAGGCCAGCATGGCCTTGTTGTCGACGTACAGGACTGGAGGAGAACGAGGCGGCTCTCCAAGGTCAGTCAGCAGGTAGGTGAGCCAGCGATACTCCTGAACAGCCATGGCCCCTGCGTAGATCTCAGCCTCACAACTGGAGCCAAGAACATAAGACGAGCGAGTAGCCTGCCACGAAACAGAGCCGGAACCAAGGCTGAAGGTGTAACCCTGTCACGACCGCTGCGTAGCCTGGTCGTCAGCCCAAGAAGCGTCCGCGTGACCAGTGAGGACCACTGGACTCCGCCCTCCAAGCACTAGTCCCATGCCCGACGTACTGCACAAGTAGCGCAACACCCTCTTCGCTGCAGCCATGTGCTCTGGTCGGTGTCTCCCAGGAGCAACATAGCGCGCAAGAATGCTAAGAGGGTATGCAAGGTCAGGTCGTGTGCAGGTCATCAGGTACATGAGACAGCCAACAAGCTCTGCATACGGGCCACTCGACTCTACGGACTCATCCGAAGGCAGAGCTGAGAGCGAGTGGCGAGTAGACAGAGGAGTGGCCTGAGGCGAGGAGTACGTGAAGCCGAAGCGCTGAAGGACCTGCTGCACCATGTGTGACTGAGTCAGGGTAATGGTGCGGCGTGCTCTGTCCCGGGTGATCTGCAAGCCAAGGTAGCTGCGCAGTTCACCCAGGTCTGTGCACGTGTGTCTCTTCTGCAGCTCAGACTTCACGTAGGCGAGTCCAGCAGTGTCAGCAGTGGCAAAGACCAAGTCGTCGACGTACACGAGGATGTAGAACGGCGGCAGAGAAGTGTCGGTGCGCAGAAACAGCGACGGGTCGGCAGTAGAAGGAGCAAACCCAAGTGCCGCCAGCGTAGTCCTCAGTGTGTCGTGCCACTCACGCGGCGCCTGGCGGAGACCGTAGACTGGACGCCGGCGACTCCACTGGGTACCAGGAGGGAAAGACCCAGTGAAGCCAGGTGGGCGACGCAGCCAGATCTCCTCGTGCAGGCTGCCCTGCAAGAAAGCTGTGCTGAAGTCGAGAGAGTGAAGCTCGTAGTCCCGGTGAGCAGCAACGTGCAGCAGTACCCGAAGAGTGGTCATCTTCGGGGTGGGGGAGAAGGTCTGAAAGTAGTCAACTCCCTGCCGGTGACTGAAGCCACGAGCCACGTAACGCGCCTTGAAGACAGGCGGAGAACCCGGCGGCCGCTTCACCCTCAAGATCCACATGCCACTGACGATGTTCGCCCCAGGAGGGGGGACAGCGTCAACGTAGGTGCCTGTGGACTTCCAGGAAGCCATCTCTGCATCCATAGCTGCCTGCCACTCAGAGGAGTAGGGACCCTCTATCACCTCCGCGTAAGAGCGCGGAGTCGGGATGTCCAGTGCATCCGGGTCTCCCTCAGGGGCTAGCAGTACAGACGCGAGATGAGGTGAAGCGGCAGCCAAGCGCTGAAACTCCTCCTGCCTGTCCTCAAGGACGTCCGTGCCAAGGGCACACGCACCCCCGATGGACGGAGGACAGACAGACTCAGACTCAGCGACAAGACTAGCAGCGTAGTCTAGACGACAGCTAGCAGCAAAGTCGACGAGCTCAGCAACTAGGGCAGACGCAGCAGAAGACTCGAAGGAAGGGTCAGTGACGGCAGTAGCAAGGAGACGCGTGACAGTAGGACTGGCAGCACGAAGAGAGTCCGACGCAGGGTCGGCAAGAGCAGGAAGAGAGGAAGCAGGAGGAGAAGGCAAAGGGGCACGCAGAGGAGCAGTGGAAGGACGCAGAGACATCTGGTGCGTGCCAGGGGCAGGAGGAGGACGCGGACGCGAACTACGAGCACTAGTGCTAGCAGGACGGACAGGCGACGCGGGGCGAGACTCAGGCTCACGACGCTCAGTAAGACCGTCAGTAGGACCAGTGTAAGGAGATGGAGCAGGCAGTGACTGAACAGGCTGTGGACACACTAAAGGAGGGGGAGGACCAGGAGGAGGCGAGAGACCAAGAACCTGCTGAAGGAGCGGAACGAAGTACGGCTAAGGGCGCGCGGCGACTCCAGACACAGCAGGGACAGTACCAGTGCCCCCAGCAGCAGTACCAACGCCCGAGTCCGCAGCACCAGCAGGGACTCCAACACCAGGGTCCTCACCACCAGTCGTCGCTCCAACGCCCGGGTCCTCAGCACCAGCCGCAGCTCCAACACCCGGGTCCGCAGCACCAGAAGCAGCTCCAACGCCCGGGTCCGCAGCACCAGCAGCAGCTCCAACGCCTGGGTCCGCAGTACCAGCAGCAGCTCCAACGCCCGGGTCCTCAGCACCAGCAGCAGCTCCAACGCTCGGGTCCTCAGCACCAGCAGCAGCTCCAACGCCCGGGTCCGCAGCACCAGCAGCAGCAGGGTCCGTGAGACGAGGCGCGCCACTACGAAGTGTGCAACGGCGCTCGTACCACTCACGGATCCGCTCACGAAAGGGGAGCTCTCGACTAGAAGGAGAAGTACCAGCACCAGTCTCCGTAGCGTGCCCGGTCCCAGAGGTACCTCTCCGGAGGCTGCAGTACTGTAAGTACCACTCACGCAACTGCTCCGAGGAGAGGTCTCGTCCAGGCGTAGGACCCCCTGGCGCAGCACCGCCAGGCTCAGCACCCCCAGTCACCGCACCCCCAGGCTCAGCACCCCCAGGCTCAGCACCCCCAGGCTCAGCACCCCTAGTCACCGCACCCCCAGGCTCAGCACCCCCATAGTCCGCACCCCCAGGCTCAGCACCCCCAGCGTCCGCACCCCCAGGGTCAGCACCCCCAGCAGGACGAGAGTCGACAGCAACCTCAACAGGCTCGACCGGGTCTACCTGAGACACACCTGAGGGAGCGGCACCCTGAGGGGGGAGGGGGTCTATGAAAGCAGCACCTGGCGCGAGGAAGAGAGGCGGGGGTGGGAGCGGGGCAGTGCGGTAGGGGAAGAGGCGGTAGTAGGGCACAGACTCGTCAAAAGTGACGTCCTGAGAGGGCAAGACCCGGCGCGAGGTGGCGTGGTAAAACTGCCAACCAGGCGCGTCCGGAACAAAGCCGAGGAAGACGCAGGGAACAGCACGAGAGGAGAGCTTGTCCGCAGACGAATCGCGAAGAAAAGCTCGAGATCCCCAGACCCGGAAACGCGACACGTCGCCAACCTCCCCTGTCCACAGCAGTGTGGTCGAGGTCTCCGGCAAGGAGACACGGGGCCAGAGGTTGAGCTGATGCGCAGCGTATCGGACCGCAAACGGCCACAGAAAATGGGGGGCAGCCGCATGGGTCAAGGAGGTACGAGCGACCTCCATGACCAGGCCAATGCGGCGCTCCGCAACCCCATTCTGCTGTGGAGAGGCCGGAAGCGTGAACGACTGCTCAATGCCGTGCTCAGCACAGTAGGTTGCCAAGAGGTCGGAGGAGAACTCACCACCTCTGTCAGAGTGCAAGCGCAGGACAGGAAAGTCCGAGCGGAAACGCTCTCTGAGCTGGAGATGAGCTCTGCGGATCCAAGGGATCAAAACATCAGGGACCTCACCCTTGGTGCGCAAGGGGAAGACCGTGGTGTAGCGCGAGTAGTCGTCAACAACGATCAGGAAGTACCTCTCCTGACCCTGACCACGGACGCGGGCGGGGCCCCACACGTCCATGTGGAGCATCTGCAAAGGAGCAGTCGTCGGGGGAAACGAGGAGGAGTGAGGAGCGGCGCGCTGCCGCCCCTCGACACAGGGAAGGCAGGGAGGAGCAGGCGAGGATGGGAGAGGAGGGAGTACCCTGGGAAGACCAGAGACAAGGTACCGGGAGTGCATGGCACGAAGGCGCTGCACAAACGGGTGGCCAAGTCGATGGTGCCAGAGGACAGTCTCGTGCGCTAGAGAGCGACACGTGCAGGGGGCAGACAGCTGACCTGACGCGGACGCAAGCGCAGACGCAGACGCAGCGGCCTGAGGGGAGGCAGTATTCAGTGTGTACAGGTCCGACCCCGGCTGCCGGGTGAAGGTAGCCAAGTGGCGGCCCGTACGAGCACACGTGCAGTGTGTCACACGCTCGTAGGCAGGGGTGGACTGGTGAACACCCCCGTCCTGGAGAGCACAACCTGCCACCAAGTTCGTGGAGAACGAGGGGAGGTGGAGACCTGACAGTGTGCCCGACAGGACCGCAGGACAGGGAAGGACAGTGGAGGAGGTCGCAATGACCGGACCCCCAGAGGGGTCAGCAAGGGAGACAGCAACTGGCCGAGCAAGGGGCTCAAGGGCAGTGCGGTCACGAAAGAAGCAGCGA